TCACTGTCTTGTCCCTGACTGTAGTGTCGTGGCCAGGGTATTGCACCAAGTCATATAACGATGCCGGACGTGGCTATCCTGTCTGTCATATCAGGCAGTCTTTACCGTCTGTGGTTATATCACACTGGTAGAGGGTGTGGGGGTCTTGGCTTAACCACCCGGACCAAGACGAGGCAATCTCACCAAAAATCTAAATCCTAGGATGGCGGGACCAGGTTGCGCAGAAAGGGATGCGTGGCTAGATAGGAGACTAGCTTTTACTGGTCTCAATCTTGGGGTACCAAGGTGTACACCATTGGATTTACCGTTTACTTCTACATGCGGGACTCTGTAGACCGTTTATCCCTAGCTACTCTTCGGAACACTATGAGATCTAGTATTAAAAACACCACCGGTGAAGCTGTGGGAAGCCCTCTAGCGACACTGGGAACATTAACAATGAAAGTTCGAAAGGACCAAACCAAGAGGGAACTACAGGAGAGGCGGCTGACACTTGCAAATCATCCTCCACAAGTGGCATACAAGCTACCACCTCCTCCAGCAACGGTCGGGAGATTACCTCTAGACACAAGCTACCGTTTCGTCTTCCCCGGCCTGGGTTAACAAGCGTTGTCAAGTTGTAACATAAAATATAGTTACCGGGCCATACAGACCGCACGTTAACTGTTAAAGAATAAAACAATTGTGAATAACTAAAGATTTCTCTAAGTACAAAAATAAATATTATAGATGAAATGTTGCTTCACCTGCTTTACCCGACGAGTTGCTACTGAAACGGCAACGTATACGTAATATTCGCTCCAACAGAGAAGCTACTTGGTTCCTTTGACACCGAGAACTGAGAGGTTTCCCATTCACCTGCCGAAAATTAAAGAAATCCAACAAGCGCGCAAATGCCCTAATCAATACCAGGCCCGGCACAGTGTGAATCGCACACTTTAGCAAAGCTTTCTTTAAAAATGAGAAGAGTTCGAATGAGCTCTGGAAAAAGGAAAAAAATAAAAACGTATATAAATACAATGCAAGTAGTCAGGCACAGGTGCAGAAAGGAAATAAAATAAGTATAAAATAAATCGAGAAAAGTTTGTATAACAGTATTTTATCAACAGCCACTACTTATACAGATACTACTCACATGTATACATGCATATAAAATAAATAATAACACACGCTTGAGTTTTTGAAGTTATAACCCTAGGTAATAACAAACTAGTGTGTTATGAATTCCCTCCCAAGTAACATTTTAAGTTCCTTTAGGTTATATATTCTCAAGGTTAGTTATATAAAGGTTTAATAAATGTCTTATTGGTATCTTACAGTGTTTTCATTTATATAAGTGTAGCGTTGGTTACTTATCACTAATAGTAACCTTGAAATGTTGTTGAGCACTTTCCTTATAAAACTACAGGTTCTTGTTACTAAAGGTTTCATAGTAAGGTTTTGTAAAGGTGTTCACATCTATTTTATATAACTTCTGGTGTTAGGTGTTATAAAGGTACGCAAGATATACACTATATAACTAAAGGTGTTATTAAGAACCATTATGTAACCAATAATACTACAAGTTATATAATTGTTCCCTCAAATCGTTTTTTTGCACCTTTCAAATGTTTGAATGTTTTATATAACCTGTAGTTCCCGAATATCAAACCTAATGACATAACCTCAAATTTTTAATATAATCAAGACAAATAATATATTAGACAAATAATGTATTATAATGAATAACCAAAAAATAAACTGGACAAAACACAAAAATACATCTACGTTCAAGAGAAAGGTTTTTCAGAATTTAAAAAAAATAGGAATAATCCAAACCTCATTCAAACTATATCTACCAATATTGAAAGCCAACATGCTAGTGATGGGTTGTTATTTAACTATCTGTTATTTTATAACAATTATTTATAAATAACATAACGCAACCGTTACTACTTCTAAAAAATAACATATAAAATAACGACACGTAGAGATCGGCCGCTCGTGAAACGAAAAACGAAGTCGGCGCTCTGCATCACCACGAAATTCTATGCTGCTCGAAGCAATTCCAAAAAACAACTAGTATGGATGGAAAACATGTTATTTCGTCAACCATCGATAATACAGGCGGCGAGACAACGGACAACGGAGTGGGGAAAGCGCTACGGCGAACGTAGCTGCTTCGGTCGATACCGTCGATGGTCATATTTACAACAGCTTAAAAATAATAGGATATAAAAGAAGCAGGTTTTTGAAACAGTTGCGTGCATAACGCCTGGCGGTGGAGATAACAGGAGTGGGAAAGGAACGCTGCTGCATCGGTCGATTGTCGATGGAGGCTCGCAACGGGTTGGAGAAGCAGTCATTTTAGATATGTTGTTTTTCAACCTGTTACGAGCATAACAGGGCGGCGGTCGAGATAATCGGTGTGGGAAAGGAACGCTGCTGCATCGGTCGATTGTCGATGGAGGTTCGAAACAGGTTGGGGAATAACGCCATCAGTTGTTTTAGATACATTCTGTTTCAACCTGTTACGAGCATAACGGACGGAGGTCGAGATATTATGGCGCTGTATGTTTCAGTACTTACTTACTTTTAAGTTTCAATATTTAGGTATTTATTTATTCTGAAAAATTTTCAGAATATTTTAAGATATTTTAAAAATGTATACAGGGTGTTTTGAAAAATCTGGTCATTGATTAATCACGATCCTGCTTAAAGCCCTTGACGTAAAAGCTGATTTTTTGGAAAACGGATTGACTTTAGTGTGTAGAGGTTCGATAAGAAGGGATTTTTCGAAACTCGAATTCTAAGGGGTGAAACTACTCTGAAATATTAGAATACTTTTTATTTAAAACCGGTGAGTTTTCGGAAAAACTCTTAAAACACGTATATTTTATTATGTTGTTTTACATATTTTAAGATTTTTAAAAAATATATACAGGGTGTTTCATAAAATATGACCATTGAGTAATCACTATTCTGCTTAAACTGCTGGACGTTTAAAGCTGATTTTTGCAAACGGATTGACTGTGGGGTTGAGGTTCGATAAGGAGGGGTTTCTCGAATCTCAAATTCCAACAGGGTGAAAACGACCCTCAAATATTACAATATTTGTTATTTAAAAACGGTTAGTCTTTCGGGAAAACGTCTGGACACGCATAATTTATTTTGTTTTTTACATATTTTGAAATTTTTGAAAAATCATACAGGGTGTTCCAAAATTTGAGTAATTGATTAACCACGATTCTGCTTAAACTGCTCGACGTTAGAAAGCTTATTTTTGGCAAATGTGAGAAAATTTTATCCAGTTTGTATGTTAATGGAAATTCTTGTTTTGCTTTATCATCACCATTAGAAATTATTAATTCGACGCGAACGAAGTCGTGGGTACACGCTAGTTTAAGTGTAAAATTAATTCGAACTCTAGTGTGTAGTTGGTTTACTTATGAAGAATATACTACACATTTTATTATATTGCTATTTTTTGACCGCAAATGGTAAAATCATAACTAAGAGCTTCTCGCCCGTCGAGTGAGATGCACCCTGTACACTGCTACGCAATTCAGGATCTACGCGGATCGAGGGGCAGGGCGTAGGTAGATCGCAATGTGTAGGTATAGACGAGTGGCGGAATTTTGGCTTTTTTATATCGCAATTTGTAAACAGCGCTTATTTGTAAACAACCACCGTTTTTAGAGAGGTATTTTAGATAACAATCGAAATTTAGAAATGTTTTGACACCCTGGAAATACTACCACCGAGCACGTCATGGTTGCAACTTGCAACTGCGTTAATACGCCTGGCGGTGACCGTATCATACTCTTTCAGATATTTAGCAGTAAAATAAAGAAACCTGTTATTTTTAAGCTGTTATTTTAAGCTGTTTTTATAAATAACTATAACAGTTTCAACTGTCTAAAAATAACAGTCTTGCCCATCACTACAACAGGCAAATTTATCATCCACAAGCAGAGATCGGGATCAACCTGAGATATTTCCAACAGAAAGTTGCCAAAACGATCAGGAACAGGAAGATGCCTGGTTAAGGCATTTCTCTAACATAAGAGAATGAGTTTTGCGCTTTAACATTACACATTCTACACTTAAAGAACTTTTTGCTATAGTCAATTCATTCATAACTGTTCTACCAAAGTACCAAAGGACCCTAGAACTCTTTTGCAAACTCCTACCACTTTAAATATAGACCAAATTGTACCAAAACACAAAAAAGGAAATTTGTTGCATTTACTCATATTTGATGAGCACCACGAGGTTTCATAAAAGTCGGCGCCCCCGGGCCCAGTTATTACGCTGTTTAAACGGGAGTTTATTTTTGCGCACAAGAAAATTTACTCGTTTGCTCATCGTCATAAAAAACAATTTTCGTACCACGAATTAGGGACAAGATTTTTAGCTGTATACTTATAGGATACCTAATCTGTGCTAGAACTATAAAATTTGAAAAGTAAAGCCGTCTTATACTACAATTCTGTGCTACAACTATAAGGGAAAAATCTGAAAACTTAAAATAAAATGTTTAATTAGATCATAAAAAATAGTCTTTATTAAGGTACGTAATCAATCATCGAAGTTAAGCAACGGTATGCGCGATCATAATTGTATGGGTGACCAAGAAACAGAAGAGCAAAATCTGAAAGCCATATATTTTTATTTAAATCACAAATCACAAAAGGCAGGATCTTTATGCAAGGAATGGCGGTCCAAACTTAGAATTGAGTTAACCGTGTCATATGGGGTATCGTATGAAAGAGCTCCATTGGCACAAGCTAACATAACCACAATTTCCTATAAGCTTTTATAGGTTTAGGAAACGTAATTTCGAGAAAAGCTCGGAAAATTTAGCTCTTAATAGTTGACAGAAAAAAGCCTTTTGTTGAAAAAAAATACCCGCCCATCAAACATACTTAAAACAAGTAATGGTGTTTTAAACGTGCTTAAAATACTTGTATTTAAACGAAATACTTAAAACACAACAACCCTGAAATAAAACAACCTTATAACACTGATATAAAAGTTTATTTAACAAAAATACTATTTTTTAGAATAAGACAAGAAATACATACAAATATACAGTTTTTTAGGTTTAATCATTCAACAAAATAATGTTACGATTATTTACAGAAATCACGTGTAAATCGAAATAATCACGCTGAGATTAATTTTAGAATAGTATTAATCACTTTTTCTCCACGATCGTTGTGGAGAAGGTTGAGTAGGGGATCTTTTATTTTTTCCTCCAATAGATCATACAGCTCGATTCTGATTAACTTAATCATCTCAGCAACCTAAAGAAATATCATTTTATTCAAAAGTTTGCAATATGTATCATTAAGGTGTACCACCAAAATATTTTTTTTTTATTTAATACTGTTAGTATATGTTAAATTAATAATATAAGTTAATATACGTTAATAATAAATATAATACTTTTCTTTTATTTTAAACTAGGACTGAGGGTGTGTACTAATCATAAATGCATGAGCAGTAATGGGCCCTTTCACAAAAAATAAAATACCCAATTCAAGGAGGAAATCTGAAATAGAAGACTATTTTCAGTATATTTATCCAAAAAAAATAGTTCCATGACATTGAATAATGTTTTTATAGGCCCTCAAAATTGCTTTAATTTGAAATAATTTTAAAGTGCCAATTGATGACGTATGAAAAATACGCCCAATCACATTGCAGAACCGTGCTCGTGCGCCAGCCAACAACTGGCAACATTGCGATTTGATTTGACCAGCACCATCTCAACTCAATGCCAATCAACATGATATGGGCAAGGCAAATATGGCGGCGAAGGCAGCGCATTATTAAATTGTTTACCTTTAACCTGAAAAGCCGGTAGTGGTTTCTCGTTCCGATTGCATACCAGAAATAATTAATTATCTCTAGTTTGTTGTGCTTCTGCAACACGTTTGCTTAGTTCTTAGTGTTCAGTGCATGGTGTGATCAGAAAATTGTGATAAAATAACAGTGTAATAAAAATCCAAACCAGACATTCCACATAGGGAACTTCAAACTTTTGTGCTTGTACTCCTCTATTATTAATTATTTTAAGGTAAGAACTAGAAGTATTTATCAAGATATTACACCTAAATGAGTAAAAAGCCTTCGCCGCCAGTCTGCATAGTACTTTATAATGGTTACTTACAATATCAAAAGATAGGTATTAAAGGGTAGGTATTATCATTTTATTGTAACATGCCTTCTACATGCTCTGTTCAAAATTGTCACGGAAATTATAGAGGGGGTCCCAAGGTTTCTGCTTTTATATTCCCCAAAAATGACGAGCTTCGTAAAAAATGGTTGACAGCTATTAAAAGAGATAATTTCACTCCTACTAGTAGTTCTAGGGTAAGAAGTGCATTAGATATGCCTCAAAAAGGCCAAAGGCCAAAGCATCTGTTACCCTAGTGAGGATGTAGTTATGGCTACTGCTTACACTTACCTCACTATAAGTAAAATATTGAAAGAAGAATCAAGCTTTTTACATCAAAAAGATCACAGAAAGATATTGACAACATTGACATTTGAGAATATAAATGGCCTAAATGTAAGTCTTTTGTAAGATCACAATTGCCCCTCACATACCTCAGAATTTATTATTAAATCCATCTTGTTCAGAATATCCAATATTTTATTGAAGAACTATACAAAAAAAGGAATGACGTCTTTACCACAAAGACAGTGCCCTATGTAAAGAGAAAGAGTAGAGAAAACTAAGCTAAACGTAAGTTTTACTTACGAACCCCTAAAAAGGTATTTAGTTTTTTTTCTATATAAAATCTTGAAACACATATTATATTTTTTATTTATCCTCAACTATTATAGTTTAAATTTATTCCCATTTGTGTAATGCTGCAAAACATAGAAAAAATATTCCATATTTTTTGATCCAAGCCAGTGTAGTTTATAATTCCAAGAGCATTTACCAAGGCTTTTATTAAGACAAGTAACTTCCTATGCTGTCCATAATAGTATATATTTATCAAACGTTCAGTAAATTCTAAACTATGGTAGGTAAGTGTTTGCAATTGAATATTTAGTTTATATTGCTATTTTCTGTCATATATTTCTGGTTATTTCTTTTTCCGGTGATTTTGAACACCCTATATATGCTACCTCAAGTTTGAATATTTTTAACACTACCTATTTTCTGAGAAAGCAGACCTTTTTATAAAAACTAACTAACTGATGTTTTCATAAAAGTAATAATACAAAAAATTCCATACTTATGTGGAGAACTTTAGACTCCCTGTATATTAAAAAATTAGTGAAATATTACGTAATCTAACCCGACATTTGTGTGAAAATGTCTATTTGGAAATAAAACAGGTTTTAAAATACGCGCCAAATAAAGTACTTCTATCTCCGCCATATTGGAAAAGGTTGAAAGGCCTTGTGTGGAGGTGGTGGTGGGTCAGCATGGTGGGCCGGCCGCGGCCGTGTTGCCGCTTTTCAACATGCCAGGTGTGACGTATGCGGATTTTTATTCTGGGCTTTTTTGTTTTTATTTATTTTCTTAAGAACGACTACAAATTTTTCGAAAGTGAGATAGCAGAAAATTCTAGAATTAATTGCTTTATTCAATTATGCTAATTCCAAAATATAGTGAAACAGCCCATTATGACTTTCTAACATACATGGTTATTCACCACATACGACACGGAGTATTGCAGCTAAACGATTAGATTTTTACAAATTGTAAGTTTTGACTTCGTTGAAGAACTATATAGAGCTACAATTTAAAAATATTTTTAGATAGAGAGTGTCCTAAATAAGTAAAAAATATCAAAGTTGAATTTTTTTAAATGGAACACCTTGTATATTATTACATTTTTAGTTTCTACGATTAAAATAAAGGTAAATTTGATTAAGGTTTATCACACTTAAACCTTACCTTTTTGAAATATTTTGAATTTTGTGAAATTGCAATAAAAATTTTAAGACTTCATTTCTCCAAGGGTATCAAAGTTTTTAATACTAAATATTTATTGAAGTTTATTTATTGATCAGTTATTGTGTTGCAATAATAAAAATAATACTACCTGAAACAGAGTGTCTAAAAATTAATTTTAAATAATTTCTATCTTTAAACAGCAATAACTTATTTAATTTAAACGGAACACCCTATATATTTTAGGAAAAGCAGATGCACAATGTAATTGTCTATCAAATTGTATTATACCACTTTTTACCTATCCCTTCAAGTTTTCGTAGAAAATGCATTTTCTTATAATTTAGACCTCATTTATCAATATACCCATGGAATATTGACATTTTAGATTGTTTTTAAAGAATCAAAAAAAAATATAATATTTCTAGCCCATTTGTATACAAAAAGAAAACGATTTAAATATTTATAAAAGAGCATACATTAATTAAATATACCACCATTATTTCCGCCCAAATATTACTTAATTACATACTTAATTGTGTTAGTTAACAAATTGTTCTAAATAAATGTGGATTTGAATCAGAAATAAATATAATAAGTTATGAAAATGAACGTCTCTGTTATAAATAAGCGTTCATCAAAAAATTACATAAAATTTTTAAGGTGTTACTTACTTTTTAGCACACTGTCTAATACACATAAAAATTCAGTTTTTTAGTATTTGGAGCAATTATTATTAATCAACGCGAACAGTCAATTCATGTAGTTTGAATACGTTTGAATACTGAAGTCATTTTTTTATTAAGGAAATTGTAGAGAGAAACAAGCTCTATAACATAGGATACAACATTTTAATGAACAGTGCTTTCCATAAAATCAATAAAATAAAAAATATACGAAATAAAATAAATGTACTGATTTCTTTCGAAAATCGACAACTATGAATATATGAACCCTTCCTGGACACAAACGGTACATTGTGAGACAGGAAATTGTAGATAAACGAACTATATCGACAATATTAGTATTAATTAATATCAGTATTAATTTAAATAAATATGTACTCTTTAAAAATTTGTTACATATTTAAAAATGATCTAAAATGTCAATACTCCATGGGTATATTGATAAATGAGGTGTAAATTATAAGAAAATGCATTTTCTACGAAAACATATGCATTATGCATCTGATTCTCATAAAATATACAGGATGTTCCATTTAAATTAAACAAGTTATTGCCGCTTAAAGGTAGTAATTACTTAAAATAAATTTTAGACACTCTGTAGAAGGTAGTATAATTTTTAATATTGCAACACAAAATTTAGTAAATAGAAATACCAACTGCAACCTAACCAATCAAAGTGCTCACAATTCGATCAAGGGCAGAAAACTTCCTACAACTGAAGAGTGTAGGAAACACACTGAAATTCTATATCCATCCTTCAATATTGGGACAAGAATTTAAGCTGTACCACGGTATAGTCTTTTAAGTGTATATTTGCATTTTACCTTATGTTCTTCCACCTGAAATAAGATCCAGCCATCTTCCAGGGATAAGAACGTGTTTCCGTTTTGAACCATTATTTCTGAGTCGCCGGAAAATAAAACTAGAGGTATGATAGGAATCATAGTGCAATCCCTAAAGAATACTCTGCTGGTTCGCACTTTTTCCTGATAGACCATATACGGACTGGGATAATTTGTTACTTTGTAATTGACCGAACTTGGATGCAAGAAGACCTAGATAAGAATGCAGAAATATAACAGGGTGGTCTGAAATGTATTCGGAAAACTTCGCCGGCATATTAGTAAATTAGCAGATAAGTAAAAAAAGTTCATATATATGTATTTCCTAAAATGCTTCGTTTCGGGGAAAGAACTACCAGTAATGGTTCTGGACCATAGACTTAAAATAAAATATAGACTACACTATTTACATCTCAACGCGGTCAAACAATCTTTTTTGTATACATGTTTACTTCTGGGTACAGTCGACCGAGCCTTCCTCATCCAGCCTATGTTCACGTCTTTAATATTATCAATATTTTTTTTCTTGTTACACACATATATTGAGATATTAATACTACAGTTTAATAAAGTAGGTTTTAATATTCCATAGATGTATTAAATAGTCCTTGTACTACTAAATTATAAGTCGGATACTGTTTAAAAAGGATAAGTTCTTTACAATATGACAACACCGATTAGAGGGGAGGGAGCCTATTCATTCATTTATTACCTTGTAGTACGCGTCGCACATGTGCGGTAAAGCTTTGTTGCCGCTATGTCCCCGGCTGTATTAACGCATTTTCTTAGCTTGTAGTCCTTAAGTGTTTATTTTATTGACATTTTCTGTTCAAGAACTATAAAATATGGTAGTCGAATAAAGTAGAAATATACCGAGGGTGCCGTTTAAAAATTAAAAGTTATAGTCATTTCCGGTGAAACAGGAAGTCACCAAAAACAATTGAATGCGTCAATCAATCCTAATTTATTTCATATCTAACATACTAAATCTTGTTTTTTTTTTATTTGAAAATATAAAAAAATTATGGGGATGAGCCACTTTTGGGACGCACCCGGTATAATAAAGACAGTAACGAGTTAAATAAATGTAGTTTTTATTTTATCCACTTCCTATCACCTTCCTTGCTTTAATGGAACAGATTTATGTTTTCTCTAATTTACATAATAAGACATCACTTAACCAGAAAAAAAATTACAAAACAATCATATTTTTTTTCTCTCCCTGTCGCCGATTCTATTATATCTGTGGAATAGATCCTGTTTTGATTAATATTAGGGGTTGTAAATGTTTGACTAAAATTAATAATTTATTATTAATTTCAAAAATTACCTAATTTCGATGATAAAATTTCTTCTATAACGTGTATTTTATTATTTTTATCCTTTTTGGACTCTAAATTGTTTTTTCTAAACTTTTATTTAAAAAATCTTAATAAAATATAAAAAAGTTTAAATACGATATATTTTTAATTTAATTATAGCTTCATTAAAATAAAAAAATTACCCGGCTATGATACGGAGAGTTCAGGTGTACTTGAGAAACGAAAGACAGTGTTGTGTTTCTCGGCAGAGTCGTCAGGGAACGACCGTTACGACAGAGACAACCTATCTATCGCTCGTGTCGCACTCGTTATAACCTAAAACAATAACACAACAATAACAAGACAGTGTCTGACCGCATGTTCCAGCTATTTATGAATGAGATGCTCAGTCTATATTTTATTTTAAGTCTATGTTCTGGACACATTTGGAGTTGAAATAATCAATACATGTTACCATTGACAAAAATTGATCATGTTGACAGGAGAGCTTTATTTTGTTGGCTAGACATGTCTGTATAGTCAACATGCTTATTTTTTGTCAATAATATGTATATATAGATAATTTATATTCTAAATAATATCTTGAGAAAGATTACTACTAGCGATTTTCATCAAAAGGTCTTTTTTACGTAAAAAATAAAGAAATGTATATTTTTTCACTTAGTAGTTTTATACAGGTACGGACGAAACATTATTACTCTTCAAATCAGTTAAAAAAATAAGTAGGTAGCGCCCCCTATATGTAGGAGTTGAACATCGAAATCAAATTTCACATGTCAAAAACTTCCAGACACCAATTCTCATCAAAATATGGACGTTAGTTCCGGAACTATTTGAAAATAATCGAAATAAAAATGAAACTTCTACACCCTGTATCTCCGAAACTAAGCATTTTAGCTATAAATTTATACGAACTTTTTACGTATTTTTATCAGCAAATGTGCTGCCGAAGTTTCTCGAATACAATTCGGACCACCCATAACATTAATATATACTACTATTCATATAGTCTGTAAAACGAATAACTTTGAATTTGACAGTTCCCTCGGGCTTTTCTAGTGTTAATTTTATTAGGTTAGCAACTTGCGGCCATGCTGACGCAATGTCGTCTCTAATAGAACAGCCTGGGAGCGAGATTTATGACGTCACGCTAGTTAGATACTACGGATTAATAAATATGTTTAGAATACATGGAAAACATAATTATTCCTCGTATTTTTGGTTTGTATTTTAAAAATGATATAGTTTACATGAAATATACATAATATACAGTTAATAAATACAATATATATACCTATTTATAGTAATAAATACTTTGGCAGATAAACTATGAACCATACAAATGCAGCAAATGTTTTACAATGTGGCTGAAATTGTACTCCATAGTCAATGTAGATAGTTTTTGTGTTAAGAACAATAATTTAAAAAAATATGTGGTCATTTTTTGACAAGTTTATATTAGTTTATTTATTGCAGTAAACATTATAATATATAAATAAATTTTGTGAATGCAAATAATAATACATCACTATTAGTAGATATTGAATGTTTTTTGTTAATTAGATCGATTTTCAAACCCCAAAATTTAAAATATATTTTATATTTTACCCATTATCTTATGTACCACCTATTCATTATTTGTATATTGTAAAACATTTGCTGCATTTGTATGGTTCATAGTTTATTTGCCAAAGCATTTATTACTATAAATAGGTATATATTATATTGTATTTATTAACTGTATATGTAAACTATATCATTTTTAAAATACAAACCACAAATACGAGGAATAATTATGTTTTCCATGTATTCTACAACATATTTATTAATCCGTAGTATCTAACTAGCGTGACGTCATAAATCTCGCTCCGTGGCTGTTCTATTAGAGCGGCATTGGTCTAATATTTAGAAATGTCAAAAGCTGATGACATTTTACCTTTGTCAATTATGACATTCCGTGTTGATTTTTGCAAGAAGAGGAAGAACTGTCACTTGTTTTGTTATTTTCCTTTTCTATTTCACGAAAGTAAAAAGAGATACCTATCTGATTCGTTCAGGCACTCAATTTAAAGAATATCAGTAACTTTTTTGACAGAGTGATTTTATATTTGCCATGTTGGTAAAAAATAACGGTCAAAATTCAAAGTTATTCATTTTATAGACTATATAAGTAATACTTCTAAAAAGCTAGTATATAATGCATAACACAATTCGTCTATAAAGGGAAATTGGAACAACTTTCGTTGCACGTTATCAATGACACCATGCGTCGTCTTATGGAGTTTGCTGGTGGTCGTATTATGATGTGCAACGAAAGTTATTTTTATACCAAGACTGATATAAAAGTGAGATAAACAGAGAGGTATACCGATCTCCGAACCTTCGAACGTCATAGTGATTTATCGATATTTTAAAAACGTCGTTTGTAGTCGTTATTAAAGACTCTTGAGCCATTGTTACTTCATCCCTATTTGTCAAATAGGGTCAAATAACTAGATCATATAAATACATACGTGGATAAATCAACGCCATAAGTTTAGCATTAAAAAATATGTCACGACATGCCATTTTCAAACCTTCTTTATTGCACTTATGAAACGTTCAATATGTTTGTCTTTCTCGAGATTAATAAAAATAGTCACAATTTTATACGGTTTAGAAAGTACAAAATATACATTGTTATGGAAACCATTCCGTTATGGAAACCATTTTCATTGTCATCATATTGTCATAATCTTGTCTTAATCATATGTCCAAAGCATATGTCATAATCTTATTCCCATTGTGTAACGACGCTTGTTTTTTGCGTTTTTTAATTTAAAAATTGTATTAATTACTCTTTTATCGACCGCTTTTATATAGCCAAGGATGCATGTGTGTTAAGTTAATTTAATTTTAAGTTTGTACAATTATATTTCAATTTTTTTTTCGTTGGACTTTCTAAATACTCGTAAAAATGACTATAGTCTGTGAAACGAATAACTTTGAATTTGACAGTTCCCACGGGCTTTTCTAGTGTTGATTTTATTAGGTTAGCAACTTGCGGCCATGCTGACGCAATGCCGTCTCTAATAGGACAGCCTCGGAGCGAGATTTGCGACGTCACGCTAGTTAGATACTACGGATTAATAAATATGTTGTAGAAAACATGGAAATCACAATTCTTCCTCGTAATGTTTTACAATATACAGATTCCTCGTAAATGTTTTACAATATACAAATCATGAATAGGTACATAAGATAATGGGTAAAATGTAAAATATATTTTAAATTTTGGGGTTTGAAAATCGATCAAATTTAACAAAAAACATTCAATATCTACTAATAGTGATGTATTATTATTTGCATTCACAAAATTTATATGTATATTTTGCAAGTATCAATGTTCGAAAAATTATATTTGCAGATAATACAATATCACAGAAAAAAGGCGTCAGCGATGGCTATCAAATAAAGATCGCTGTAATTTTATATATAAATTGTTACATATAAGTATTATTATTATTATTTTTAAAATGCAAACCAAAAATACGAGGAATAATTATGTTTTCCATGTATTCTACAACATATTTATTAATCCGTAGTATCTAACTAGCGTGACGTCATAAATCTCGCTCCGAGGCTGTTCTATTAGAGACGGCATTGGTCTGATATTTAGAAATGTCAAAAGCTGATGACGTTTTACTTTTGACAATTATGACATTTCGTGTTGATTTTTGCAAGAAGAGGAAGAACTGTCACTTGTTTTATAATTTTCCTTTTCTATTTCACGAAAGTAAAAAGAGTTACCTATCTGATTCGTTCAGGCACTCAATTAAAAGAATATCAGTAACTTTTTTGATAGAGGGATTTTATATTTGCCATGTTGGTAAAAAATAACGGTCAAAATTCAAAGTTATTCATTTTATAGACTATAGAAAGTGTTTAGTGTGTGAAAGTTCTAATATAAAGGTTCCCGAATTACCTTTTCATAGGCAAATAAAGTATTCAGTTGTTCTTTTATTTATATTAAGCCACATGCATACTTTCTGGTTAGATTTCCTAAGAATGTTGATATTCATACTGAGTGGGTAAATGTATTTTTTTATATTTCAACTTTTGTGACAGTAAACATTCGATTTATTGTTCAAATATAAGCATTTTACAAATTAAATTTTTAAAATTAATCATAATAATAGCCAATCACTAGATATGGATAAACATTTTGTTGACAAAGAAAAATTCTTAAAATTTCCATTAATTGGAAAATTTAAAATAAAAACAAAACTGAAACATGGTTTGGTTGTTTGGTGTTTTTTTATTTTCAGAACCAAAATAAACAAAGTCAGTCTTCCAGAGTGCGTGTAACGTTTTATCCGAAGAAAGTAAGAGTTATTTATAAAATTGCAACTGGAGTAGGACCCGCAGAAAATATTTTTTGCCTTTAAAGTTAGAACAGTTTTTGCTATAACAAAAGTACGAAGGAAGTAAGTCCTAAAAAAACTGAACAAAAAGTGAATAATATTAATGATGTACCGATTCCGTCTATTGAAGAATTCGGCGATAATATTTCAATAAATCACACAGAAAGTTTAGACTGTTAAATGGAACAATTTCATCAATAAATTTGATAGCGATGTAAGGAAGAATTTAAATTAAAAAAATTATAGGGGTGAGCCACTTCCTAGACGCACCCGGTATAATGATTCGCTAAAATTAAGTAATATGGAAATTATTTAAAATCTATGATCTGTGAGAACAACCTCAATGTTTCGTGACAATCTCCCCTCTCTAATACAACAATACAAAAACGACATTCCAAACAGCGCCGGCCCGCACTACCACGTCACGCTGAAAAATATGATGATAAATATACTACGTGACCCGAGCATATGTATAATAGTTGGTAGAATTACTTATGTTGTACAGGTTCGCACTCTCTTGGCAGATACTTAAATTCTTTACTAGCCCCATAGGAGTATTACTTATATGGTAATAATATATTGCATACCAGTTCATTGGGAGTAGCAAATTTTATATCTTTTGCGTCGTTTTCCTTGGGTACCGCACCAGCAGAACTTTGTATAAAAGTTTTAGAAGGAGTTAAAACTTTTACAATATTAGGGTAAAGTGCTGCACAAATTATTGATGAAAGTAATCTGAGATTTCCTCCATTCACGTTAAACTATAACATTATTAAAAAGTTAGAAAATAAACATGGACCAATCAACAATGATCAATTGAAGTAGCTGCGTATTATGATTTTGCTCGTTTGGTTGCAACAAATTTAAAAAATTCTCTAAGACAGTACAGTAGAATCCGGACAGAAGTCCTCTAATTCGTCGAAGTTCTGCTGTATTGCCAACTATTTCAATCATTGTTGCTTGCTCTGTATATTGTTGAATACATTCTTAAATTAAGGGCTCGAAATCACTGACGACCAGGTCGCAACGACCGGACCTGGCCGTCGGCTGGCCGGATGTATTGCGTTTTTAGCTGCGGCCAGATGAACGACCAGTTTCAACAGAGTTGTCAGATTAACAATTTTTTACGTTTTACCAATTAGAAAATATTGTTTCAGAAATGTTAAAATATCCGAGTTAACTAAAAAGCGAAGTTGCTATTCACAACAAACAAAAAGCATTGTGTACGCGCGACCGACAAAAAGGGAGATATTCTGTTTCTTTTTTCTACTGATATGCCCTTATCGACCTTAGAAGTAAACGTATTAGGGCCATCGTAAAAAAAGATCGTCAGACACTGGCTCTGAATATAAGCAGGTAGAAAGTTTAGCTTCCAGTTATTTCAATGTTTTCAATATAACGCAGAATCTACAACAGTAATTACTTCTATTTTTATGAATGTTTAAGTTACTTTCTTAATTTTTTTTTCAAAATAATGTACCTAGTAGAAATATAGTCTAACGAACCCTGTTTGAAAAACGTTAAAATATAATATTTAAAATACAGTTGTCCTCCTTGTACATGACTACAATACAACTAAAAAAACTAATTTAATAAAAAAAACAAGTGGTTGTAGAAAAACTTTAAATATTATTATTTTTATTTTTTTAACATCGAAACTCAAAGGTATAATAACAGGTATCATACCAACCATAAATAAAGTAGGTATAGTCTATAAAATGAATAACTTTGAATTTTGACCGTTATTTTTTACCAGCATGGTAAATATAAAATTACTCTGTCAAAAAATTTACTGATATTTTTTAAATTGAGTGCCTGAACGAATCAGATAGGTATCTCTTTTTACTTTCGTGAAATAGAAAAGGAAAATAACAAAACAAGTGACAGTTCTTCCTCTTCTTGCAAAAATCAACACGGAATGTCATAATTGACAAAGGTAAAATGTCATCAGCTTTTGACATTTCTAAATATTAGACCAATGCCGCTCTAATAGAACAGCCACGGAGCGAGATTTATGACGTCACGCTAGTTAGATACTACGGATTAATAAATATGTTGTAGAATACATGGAAAACATAATTATTCCTCGTATTTTGGTTTGTATTTAAAAATGATATAGTTTACATATACAGTTAATAAATACAATATACAGTTAATATACAGTTAATAAATACAATATAATATATACCTATTTATAGTAATAAATGCTTTGGCAAATAAACTATGAACCATACAAATGCAGCAAATGTTTTACAATATACAAATAATGAATAGGTGGTACATAAGATAATGGGTAAAATGTAAAATATATTTTAAATTTTGGGATTTGAAAATCGATCTAATTAACAATAAACATTCAATATCTACTAATAGTGATGTATTATTATTTGCATTCACAAAATTTATTTATATATTATAATGTTTACTGCAATAAATAAAAAAATATATATATTGTATTTATTAACTGTATATTATGTATATTTCATGTAAACTATATCATTTTTAAAATACAAACCAAAAATACGAGGAATAATTATGTTTTCCATGTATTCTACAACATATTTATTAATCCGTAGTATCTAACTAGCGTGACGTCATAAATCTCGCTCCGAGGCTGTTCTATTAGAGACGGCATTGCGTCAGCATGGCCGAAAGTTGCTAACCTAATAAAATTAACACTAGAAAAGCCCGCGGGAACTGTCAAATTCAAAGTTATTCGTTTTACAGACTATATGTCATATAAAAATGTTTTTAGTTTTTACTAGAATCGACCCTTGATAAATAAAGGGATTAGATTTAAGATTACCTTTGATCCAGTCTGTATACTATTTCTTTGGATTGTCTGCACGTGTGCAAAAACTACACTAAAACACTATATCTTATAGAAAATAAAATATTGTGCCTTGAATTTGAGGGATTTCATCTGAAAAATTATTAATTTGGAAGAAAACCGGCAACAAGCGGCAGAAAATAATAATATTTCCGTGCAGTCTTCTGGTCGCAACGACCAACGGACGGCCGGGACGTTAGTGTGCGCTATATCATTTGATTTAAAGGTTTTAGAGGTAGCTGCGGCCTGGTCGGTGCGACCTGGTCGTCAGTGTGTTTGAGCCCTAAAATAAAATTATTTTCTTACCGCTGATCCCGTTAGTTCCTCCACTATATCCTGACCCATGCGTCTCCTAACACCATTTAAATCGACAGGTATAAAACCAATGTTCACCAGATATTCCAAAAACTGATATTTTATATCGGCAATGGTGAGTAATGTCTTGTAGGACAAATAGTTTTCGTTAGCGAAATTCCGAGCACCAGTCGCACTTTTTTGATTTACAGCCAGAAATTTCTAAAAAATAAGTAAAAAAAAACAACTATATCTTTCTATTATAAAACCAAAGACATCTAACTTAGAGAAAAAACTATTTACATTTTATCCCGATCAAACATCGTTTTAAAAAAATCGACGATAACAAATTTCTGCGTTCGAAAACGAAGTATTTAAAGAACATAATGATTATTTCAGAAAGGGCGACTTTCACAAATCTAAGATTTGTCAGCATTCAAGGGACATAGGGCACAGAATTAATTTTAACAACGCCAAAATTATAATGAAAGAAGCGATAGCCTGTAAAAGAAAAATAAAAGATGCTTTTTAATACAATCTAATAAAAATAAATGTATTGCTCATGCATTTGTAGATGTTTTGGCTGTATGGAATCAAAATGTATGGCAATCGCTTCTTTGATTTTAAAGAACATAACATAAATAAAGATAACATACGTAAAAATTAAAAAACAAATTAAAAATAATCATACAGAAAGTTTGAAGCTTTTTGGTTTTACCTTATTAAATAATTGTTATTACGTAGTAATTGTTAATTTTGAACTTTAACTTGATATAATGTAATTTTAACAGTACGTCAACGATTTTTCTAGAAGTATCTGCTTTTTTTAAAAAAAATAAAGTGTTCTCGAATAGTTGCATTTAAATATTTTAAATAGTTTTTCTTTATTCTTTGGATTTTTTTTGCTTCCGACGACGGAAAGAAAACATTCCGAAACGTTAAGCATTTTTTTTGTTCGTTAAGCAAATTTGTTTATCAGTAAACCTAACTGCTGACAAGTAGTGTCCGTTGGATTAACGCAGCAGTGTTTACAAAAAAGCACTATTTTATTTTGTAGATTTTCTTGCAGCGGCGAAAAGTCAAATGTTAAAGCACTTAAAATATCAGAAAAACACACTGTCTATTACAAATCAAAGTCTAAATTAAAATTAGTTTTTATCGATAATTCCCAGAAGCATTTTTTGTTTTATAAGTGTGTTAGGAAACTTCCCAACACCATATTATACAACCTAAACGCATCTAGAATGGTTGTGAGTTATTGGAAACCATTATATAACATCCATTTTACAACTGTTCCTATGGTAACCCTTAACACTCAAGGTGTGCAACCAAAGTCCTAAAAACTTTCTCAACACCTTTATATATCCTATCGAGTTACCACTATAAAACTGAAAAAGGGTATATAATAGTTATATAGTGGTGCTGAGAAGGTTCCCAGAGACTACCTTCATAGAAATATCGCGAATGCGGGTTTTTTGAAAATATACTTGTTTCTTTCTGACTAACTACTTTAATATTTGCCTCTTTTTTTAACATAAAAAGCAGATGTGATATTATTTCTCCGAGTTGTCCTACGCAGATAATCCAGATCAGAAACAAAAGAGACAAAATGACGCCATCCTTGTCATAGCCTACAAAAGCGTTTGCGTTATGCAAATGACTTTATAGAAATTACTTTAATAACATCTATTGTGCCTATCCAGCGTACTAAATACATATGCGATATTAAATTTACTGTGTGAAAATCAATTTTACCTCCAAAAAACACATGCGCCCCCAAAAGCAGAATTATTTAATACATTTTTTTATAAACAAAAAAAAATGGTAAAAATTTTGTAACGAAAGCCAAATTTATTAATATAAATAATAGAACATACGACTTTTTTAATACATGGAAATAACTGGCAACTGGCCAAAATATAGTTTTGTACCAGTTTTTAACGTTATCTTAGAAATACTCATTGTAGCCAAAAATGAAGACATCAATAATAATGGCGTCCATTATATTTAAAGTGCTATATATTACTTTAGGGTCTATAACATACTCATCAACCATTATATAAATTTGGTTACTTAAGGTTCCGTAAATGAGTTTGGGTTATTTAAAACACCAATTTTAGTGTTTTATACAACTAAAGTTGATACAAATCATCATTATAAATGCCGGGGTGTTTATAGCTATTTTTAGTCACCCAGAAAACCTTTATGTAACCGGTGGTGTCGACTGTAGCGACTCCCTGCGAACGAAGTTTGACATTACAGCAATTTGACAGAAAATGTGCAGAAAACAAAACATAACCTCATAAAATTGAAATAATACTGTTTTGGTTCAATTTGATCTATATTTAAAGTGGTAGGAGTTTGCAAAAAAGTTCTAGGGTCCTTTGGTAGAACAGTTATGAATGAATTGACTACAGAAAAAAACTCTTTAAGTGCAGAATGTGTAATGTTAAAGCGCAAAGCTCATTCTCTTATGTTAGAGAATGCCTTAACCAGGCATCTTCCTGTTCCTGATCGTTTTGGCAACTTTCTGTTGGAAATATCTCAGGTTGATCCTGATCTCAGCTTATGGATGGTAAATTTGCATGTTGGCTTTCAATATTGGTAGATGTAGTTTGAATGAGGTTTGGATTATTCCTATTTTTTTTAAATTCTGAAGAACCTTTCTCTTGAACGTAGATGTATTTTTGTGTTTTGTCCAGTTTATTTTTTATTATTCATTATAATACCTTATTACCATTATAATACAACTGCTTTGCTTGCTAATATATTATTTGTTTTGATTATATTAAAAATTTGAGGTTATGTCATTAGGTTTGATATTCGGTAACTACAGGTTATATAAAGCATGCAAACATTTGAAGGGTGCAAAAAAACGATTTGAGGGAACAATTATATAACTTGTAGTATTATTGGTTATATAATGGTTCTTAATAACACCTTTAATTATATAGTGTATATCTTGCGTACCTTTATAACACCTAATACCAGAAGTTATATAAAATAGATGTGAACACCTTTATAAAACCTTACTATGAAACCTTTAGTAACAAGAACCTCTAGTTTTATAAGGAAAGTGATAAACAACATTTCAAGGTTACTATTAGTGATAAGTAACGAACGCTACACTTATATATATATATATATATATATATATATATATATATATATATATATATATATATATATATATATATATATATATATATATATATATATATATATATATATATATATATATATATATATATATATATATATATATATATATATATATATATATATATATATATATATATATATATATATATATATATATATATATATATATATATATATATATATATATATATATATATCAAAACACTGTAAGATACCAATGAGACATTTATTAAACCTTTATATAACTAACCATAAGAATATATAACCTAAAGGAACTTAAAATGTTACTTGGGTTGATAAAATATAGCATGCCACTTGTAGACCTAAAATACAGAAATACATACAAAACTCAACAGCGTTGTCATATTTATGCACCCATCTCTTTTAAACTTATACTAAGGGCTGGCAAAGGTTAGTCTTGGATCGAGATTTCCATATGTAAGAAAAGTACAATGCGTTTATAATGTACTGAACAAAACGTTGCCAAACGTATGAAATAAACCGAGAAACTGCACATTGCTAAGAGACGTGGAAGGGGATATAGCAGATTTGTCGCAGTCGACCGGTCGACCCAATCAGTACCTCTGTCGGTACTTAAAGTTCTAGGGAAAGGTGTACATCATGTGTTCAGCTTCACGATTTAATTACGTCTCGTGATACTTTATTTGTTTATTTATTAACGAGTCGTTGTAATTTTCCCTATAGCTTGAAAATTAAGTGCAAGTTAGAAACACTTGCGTTTTTGGTAAAAATAAGTGGAATTTGGTTGGTGTTCGACAGTGGTCGCGCTATTAGAACTCTGAATTCAAAAATCGATATCTCGAAGTCTATTAAAAATAATTGACTGTAGTTTTTTCAAAAACTTTCTTAACATTTCTGTTATATTTTCTTCGCAGACAGTATGTGAAAATCTTTATAAATAAAAAAGTTACACGATTGCTGAAAATTGCTATGCATTAGTAAATTGATGGGTTGTTTAAAATTTTTGAATGGAAAAAACAACCTTATCAAATTTTTCTTATTTAAACATATTGTACAAGATACGATCTTCAAAATAAAAAAAAGTTTCAATATCAAAAGTGGTTCTTAAGTTATGGCGTGTTATGTGTTAAAAAGTTGAGTTATTAAATTATCGTTATAAAAAAATGGACCCCCGAACGATATATTTACCTTATAAGCCATCAAAACTGTAATCTGATCGCTATATCCAGCCGAGAATGACAGTTTTTTCTTGTTTGCCTCGTCTCTCTTTTCAAACGGCGATACGAATGGTGATTTGTTACTCAAACAGGCGGCCATAGTTAAGGCCGCGTCCACACAGCCAAATATTGCGCCGTACAATATCAATTTTCCTATTCTTACATCTACGGGTAGAGCGGCAAGATGGTGCCCCAGAGCTGTCAAAATTTCATTTTTATCTATCGCCCCTGCACTCTGCAATCTCTTAATGGCCGATGTTATGCTCTCTACATTTGGTTGTTCTATAAACGAAGCTGTAAAAATAAAATTCAATGAAATATACTCTATTTTAGGACTCAGGGAAGATTTCGACAGACGATGACAGAAAAATAGCAGATGACGTCCATACCAATCCAATTATTTCACTAAAAAAAGTTTGTACTTTTTCAGTTAACTATAGAGGGATTTATACAATATCTCCCCGGATTTCGAAAATGATAAATATCAGATTTGCAAAGAAAAATCTCATCTCAAATGCTCTCTCGAAATGCATACCTCCTGTCACCACTACAAACTTATAAAATTATTTTTAAAATAATTAAAAGTGTAAAAATAACGTAATTTTTAAACGGTTTTATTTAGCTCGACCCGTACGGTATTTATTTATTTGTTTGTTTATTTGGGTCAAAATTAGAAATTGAAATTTAAGTACCTTCCTGTTGTCAGATTGATCTGAAATTTGGTACACACCTTTAGTTCCGATGACAATATAATATAGTAATATCAATAACATTGTAAATCTAAGATGGCCGCCGTTACAAAATGGCGAATTTCATATTTTTCCACAACCCCCTCAATATGGGTATCAAATGAAAGGGCTACACTAGTAGAATACTGTGATTATGACAAAATTTAAAATCCAAGATGGACGTCGTTACAAAATGGCGTATTAGGTGAGGGCATGAGTAGTCGTGTCCAGAACAGTTGTGTCCAAGATTGTGTGACGTTAGAAGGACAGATAATAAAAAAAATAGGTGATTAGATGTACCTACGTAGTTAGCGGTAGCTTTACCACCCAAGTTAAGGTAATAGGTTAAAACGTGCTGAGGACTGTATGGCATTAGGGTGGCTAAAAATGTAATGTCGCAAGGGTTTTCCCCTCAAGATTGGGCGCCTCTTGTTGTATATTATAGCCTTGCTATACTGGACTTACTGGACCTCTGGGGGTGTCGACCGTTAAAATGTCCATTACTCGTGGGAACAACATGGATGAAATTTCAATGGTATCTTATCAAATGCTGTGTATGATTGACGCACGATTAAGACAACTTAAAAATCATGAAGACGAGTTCTTTGGAGGCATAAACGTTTTACTTTTTGGAGATCTGTTACAACTGCCTCCAATCAAACGCTCCGGAGCTCCTGTTTTCAAACAGCCCGATCATCTCCAACCAGCCACACATCTATGGCGTTTGTTCACGCTCTGTGAGCTGACGGAGAATATGCGTCAGCAAGGGGACCATACTTTTATTGAAATACTAAATGCTTTGAGAATAGGTGAGCTAACCGCTAACCATTTTAGTATTTTGATGCAAAGAGTTATTCAAAACCCAAGTGATGAGTTTGCAACAGACAAAGCGTTAAGGGTATACACTACTAATCAGCAAGTAAACAATCACAACGCTGCTGTTTTAAATCTGTTCCGGAATAAGGGATCTCGAATTTATACCATTAAAGCACAGGACCAATTAATTGACGCCACACGAAATACAGATACTTTAAATTTAGCAAATATAATACCAACAGATATAAATAAGACTGGAGGCTTACCATCAGTACTTGAAATATTTGTAGGAGCAAAATTAATGTTGCGGTCCAACATTGACGTTACAAAAGGATTGGTAAATGGTGCTATAGGCCACATTACAGAAATTGTTTGGCCTCAGTTCCGTCGAACCCAAATGTACGAAACAGATGTACCATCAGTTTGGATTGACTTTGGCAGAGACGGCATACACGTTATACACCCGAAAGCCATACAGTTTCCAGCAAAATTCAATTATGGTACGGCTGAAAGAAGGATGTTATCCTTAATTTTGTCATGGGCATCCACCGTCCATAAAATGCAGGACAGCACAGTCGACCATGTATGTTGTATTTGGGCTCAAAATTGTTTGAGGAAGGGCAAGCATACGTGGCTCTAAGTCGAGTCAAGTCTCTGGAAGGGCTATGTATTGAGGAATTAGATTGTAATAAATTATCAGGTAAAAAACCATGTAATAATGATGCACTAAATGAATTAAATAGAATGAGGAATATTCTGTAGGCATTTCCGTTAAATACTAAAACTAGAAAATAAAAAATCGGTAAAAAAACTTTTAAGTTAAACGGTTTTATCTTATGTGCACTGAAAACTAGAAAATAATAATAACAATTAGGTATTTTGAACTTCTAGTTCAGAAATATTTTAGTACTAGGCAGAATAGCTTTTAGGCATATTAGACTAAAAATAAAACGTGGGGCCCATTAACTATTGCTGTAATACTTTCTTCTATACTAAGTGTGGATTGCATCGACTTACTATAATCGTAACTGGAGATTTTGACAATCAATAACCAGCCGTGGCGGCTTCACCAGCGAACGCCGAGCTCATGATCTACCAAAGTATAAAGATATGCTTTGCCATAGGTAGGATTTCAGAGGGGCCCCTCGTTTTTATTTTAGTCTAATATGCCTAAAAGCTATTCTGCCTAGTACTAAAATATTTCTGAACTAGAAGTTCAAAATACCTAATTGTTATTATTATTTTCTAGTTTTCAGTGCACATAAGATAAAACCGTTTAACTTAAAAGTTTTTTTACCGATTTTTTAACAATATACTATTGTTAAAGTTAAATTTCGTACGGCACTAAAAAAGATGTAAAACAGTACTGCAACGTATTAATTCTTTTGGTATGAGTCATGAAAGTAATAAATAGAAAACAGTGACTTTTTTAAATATATATGCTAATTATTTTTATTAGTATGTCCATTAAAAATATAGATATAGAGAAATCAATAAAAGTTGGCGTATGCGTCATCAAAGGCGTCAAAACTATTACCAAATTAGATTCCTAATAAATAAAAATTCGTTTGAAACTTAGAGCGCAATCTTTCCTTTTTCTTATAATCTCGTATCAAGGTTAAAAAAAAAGACAGCACGCTTTCGCATCAAGTAAACGAATTGGCCGACAAAAAAAGCTTTATGTTGGCATTCATGGCAAATGTAGGCGATAAATCTGACATTTGCCATTTTCAGTTTCAAAGTTTTCGTGACCAATTTGAAATTACATCTACGTTTTGTTTAGTTAAAACTGCAATTCTCATTGCAATAAAATGCCAAAACCACTAAATAATCGGAATCAGTAACTTGTCTCGCCTCTACTCAACTATTTTAAAAGAAAGAGATCATGGGGAGTCCCCTTTCCCGTTAAACTGCGTTAGAGAGGTAAAAATTGATATTGTTGCTTAGCTTCTAGTGAAAATACATACAGTATGTCCACAGTCCTTCTTTACAAGAGGAAAAACTTTTTAATTATTGATATTTTGAGAAATATGCATTCTTCATAAAAATTTTTGCTTGTTCTAAAATGGTTAATCCTGTTTATACATTTTCAAATTTCCATACCGTGTTGACTCCTATGTTGACATCAAAATCAAATTTCTCTTGTCAAAAAAATCCGGAATACAGTTCGGACCACCCTGTATATCGAATATCATATCCGATATAACTGTATTACGGACCATAACTGTATTCCGGAAACTTCTGCAGATAAAAATAAGCCAAAAAGTTCGTATAAATGTATGTTCTAAAATGCTTAGTTTCGGAGATACAGGGTGTAGAAGTTTCATTTTTATTTCGATTTTTTCCAAATAATTTCTGCAGTAACATTAATATTGGGATGAAAATTGGTGTCTGGGACTTTCTTGACATGAGAAATTTGATTTTGATGTCAAATCCTACTAGTAGAGGGCGCCACCCAAGTAGCAAAAAGAAATTCTAAAAGGACTGAATTATTTTATAACAGTCCAATAGCGTTGTCTTAAGGACTGCTTGATTTTATTAAGCGTTTGGTTTCGACCATTCTGTTTTTTAATAAAAGTTGTCATATTAAAAATTGTCCCTACTTTTCAAGCCCTATTAATGATTTTTTATATTACATATTTGTTGTACCTTCTAGCTCTACCCGCCATTTTCATTGTCGAGTAAAGTCTCCTTTTTAACAATACACATCCTCTAGATTCATTTTACGACACGCTTAAAATATAATTTGCTCCTAATATTCTTCGGTAAAAAATAAAATACTCTTGTACCTCGCTAAATGATCAAATGTTTTTATTGTTCTGTTTCTTAGATGTTATATATTACGGTCTTATAGCACGTTATATGAATTGAGGTATCCTATAAAAATTATCACATAGCTGTTCATACAGCCTTTATAAAATAAAATTTGCTACTTGGGCACCTACATATTTTTTAACTGGTTTGAAGAGTAATAACTTTTAGTCCGTACTTGCATAAAACTACTGAGTAAAAAAATATACATTTACGACGTTTTTTAAAAATTTGTTTTTTCGTTTTTTCGAAATATTTGGAATCGAAATTACCAATACCTGTCATCATTGACATAAATTAAACATGATGACTAAATAGTTATTAGACTGAGATTAAAAATTTGTAAGTTTTTGTGTCAAAAGTTCAACAGAAACTGTTTTATCATCATTTTTTGAAGAAAAATTTATGATTATTTTAAAAAATTAAAAATTCTCAAATTTATTATTTCTGTAAAATAACTATCTACTCAACGTGTTTATTTTTCGTCAATAATGATATGTATTGACTATTTCCATTCTAAATATCTTGAGAACGGTTGCCTGTAGCAATTTTTACAAAGAGATATTTTTTAAGTAAAATGTCATAGAGACTGTATATCCAATATTATGATATTTCAATATTTATAAATATCATATTTGCCAACACTGACGAAAAGCCGGTGGCTCTCAATTTTTTTTAAGTAAATATTTTTTTTTTCAATTTTCCAACTTGAATAACTTATTGGTTATTTTGGACTTAATTGAAAATCGGTAAAAAGAAAATATGTTTCCTTTATCGAGATCTACCAGCCCTGAAAATATTTGCACTTATTTAAGACTCATTCTGTATAATAGATCTTTTTCTTTCCGAATCAACTCGCTTTGAAATTTAAAAAAAAGTATACTTACATAAAACACTAAAAATATCCCTCCCTTCAAAACTCGGCAAGACTTTTATATTTAAAATTAACTGTTCCAATGGGATTCTCAAAATTTCCGGTACGGGTTGGTTTAAAAAGTGATGCTTAAATCTGTGCCTGGTGTACAAATGGATACCAACTCCTGGCATAACACGACCTGCCCTGCCTTTCCTTTGTAAAGCATTAGCCTGAGTGACCCAGACCGTATCCAAACTTTCCATGTTCCGGTTCGAATCGAAATGCTTTTCCTTCATTTTTCCCGTGTCCACAACAAACACACAATCGTCTATCGTCACTGACGTTTCGGCCAAATTTGTAGACAGAACAATTTTTCTCTGGCCTGGTTTTGGCTTACGGAAAATTGCTGATTGTTCTTCGCTGGTCAATGAGGAATGCAATGGAAGAATAACGTATTTTCCACGTCTCCTGCCGAATTCCTCGTGAACTACCAGCTGGTCAAACAGTGAGGTTATCTCCCCAATGCCTGGCAGAAATACTAGAATACTGCCCTGTCTGGGATAGTTGTGATTTCCGTTTACTACCCATAGTAACACTGATTCGATAAGATCGTTGTTAATTTTCTCGGGGTCCATCAGAAATAGATTCTTACAAGTTTTTAAACTGAAACCTAAAAAATAAATATACAGTCTGTTGCATTGCCGACCCGAACATAGAAGAAATCCCAATCCAAGTTTTCCCCATTTTATTTTGTAAAAATATTTATTTGAAACTTTTCGAAGAACTCCTTAAAATGAGTCAATTAATCTATCAATAAAAATTAAAAAATCGTGTTCGTAGCTATTACGGTTACCGAGATACTAATGCTCGTACCCCGAATTTGTAGCACCCTGTATAGACTCTATGATGAGTTATAACTCCGAAGAAGGGAAGGGGACAAAAGATCTTTAAGGTCGCGGTGATTAACCCCCTCCACTCATTCAGTTAAATAAATTTTCTTTTGGAGCAGTGTGTTTACTTATCTACGAAATATATTAGATTTTTTTAAAGATTCTATTATGTTTACAGCGTACTTTTTGTAACTTTTTTAGCGAATATATCTTAGAACTCTATAGAAGAAAATCATAATACATCCCAAGTAGCAAAAAGAAATTCTAAAAGGATTGAATTATTTTATAACAGTCGAATAGCGTTGTCTTAAGGACTGCTTGATTTTATTAAGCGTTGGGTTTCGACCATTCTGTTTTTTAATAAAAGTTGTCATATTAAACTATTTTCTAGTGGTTTTTACAACGTATCCTATAACACATCTTTTAGTATGATATAACACTTAATAAGACAATGCTATATGATAACAAATATATTATTTTATTAGACTCTTATACCCACCATGTAAGAGTTCTATAATATTCATATAACTAGTAGTCACAAGATCATATAATAGTTACTTAAACTTGTCTTATTAAAGTTGTATTACGTTGTATGATAGAACGTTTTATTGCATTAAATTACGGTGCTGTATACAACACAGTTATATAGCCTTATATGATAAAATTGTGATTAACAAAATAAATTCGCTGTAATATCTGCATTATAAAACTGGTAATGTATAATATAACCTCATTTTAATTTAAATGGTATACCTAGTTATTTATTTTCTTATTGTTGTTGTTGCAAAAGTAATATCTACGTACGAGTATAATCAATCACAGCTATTATGAATTCTGGACAAAGTTGGAAAAAAGTTAACAAACGCAGTGGTAGTTATAAAGAGCATGTAAGAAAAAACTCCTCGAAATTACGGCAAATAATCCCGAGAATTCCCTGGGTTCTCAAAAGCCAAAATCTCTCGGGTTGACTGGCTTCTTCAAAGCATTGTTGCCACGTTGGTGTAAAAGTTTTACTGTAGTAATGTTTGTATTGTTTTATTGTTGTTTTTCCAAGTCCTTAGGTTGCCGCTCACTCGTCGGGCACGCATGAAATGCATTGCGTGCATGAATCCATGAAAATCTGATCATGTTTGTTAGTTTAAATAATAATCAAACCATATTTGGCAACATCTATTTGTCACAAATCTCAATATGTCCAAAATAGTTCTATAGTGCCTGGAAATTCTGCGTAATGATAGATATTTATCCTATACCGTTTTATTTTACAACAAAGACTTATTTAAGGGATTCATTTATAATAAAATGGTTGCATTATAATTCGCCATGTTTAAGGCAGAATTTTTGTATGGCCTATGGCCGCCATTATATGAAGCAAAATTAAAAACCTCAAAATACATTGTAAAATGTTATTTTTGAGAACTATTTTGTGATAAGATTCCCACATAACAGTAATAAAGTGTTTAATTAAATTAAAAACAAGAATTTTTGAAAATTTTATTTTATTTTTTTGTTTAAATTTATATGTAAACCTTAATCGAAATTAAAGCGCTTTAATTTTTTGCCAAATACATACCTATAATCTACCAGTAAAATTTTCGGCGCAACAAAAATTGTCCCTACTTTTCAAACCATATTAATGATTTTTTATATTACATATTTGTTGTACCTTCTGGCTCTACCCGCCATTTTCATTGTCGAGTAAAGTCTCCTTTTTAACAATCCACATCCTCTAGATTCATTTTACGACACGCTTAAAATATAATTTGCTCCTAATATTCTTCGGTAAAAAATAAAATACTCTTGTACCTCGCTGAATGATCAAATGTTTTTATTGTTCTGTTTCTTAGATGTGACCACGTAATACACAATAAAACTAGTTTTATAATAGTCATATAATGCTGTGTAAAATAGTTGCATAAGGGTTGTATACCCTTTTTATAGAACTTCTATACTACTAAACGGTTGTATAAAAATGGGCTTTTTGGTTGTAAAGCTATCATATTACGGTCATATAGCACGTTATATGAATTGAGGTATCCTATAAAAATTATCACATAGCTGTTTATACAATCTTTATAAAATAAAATTTGCTACTTGGAATTTTTCATATTGTATCATAACTTCTCACTGTTAATATTAATTTGTCACTGTTATGTTTGTTTAACCAGGACCGGAGTATTTAAAATGTTCGACTAAATTAGTATTTTTGTATCTATCATAACTTAAAAACGAATTAGTAAAAATTATTCCAAATGAACAATTTGTTTTATTTTAAGAAGTTCTTTAAAAAGTTTCAAATATTTTTTTTTGTAAAATAAAATGAGGAAAACTTATTTATAATTTTTAAAATTTACATGGGATTTATTCATTGCATATGTTCAGGTCGAATATGCAACACACTTCATAGTCTGTTCAATGAGTCGGGGAAGATTTTAAGAGATGATAATCTATTAGAGGTGTGTAGTTCGTGAACAAACAAGTTCCAATGAACTATTCCGACCCCGGAATGAAAGGAACTAGTTCCTGGTTTCTCAAAGAACTAGTTCCTCAGGACCTATTCCGAGATCGAGACTGTGACCAATATAGAATGATATGCGACGGCGACGGATCGGCTAGCGCGCGTAGCCCGATGGTAGGCAGGAGTGGGGAGTGCCAGCCATATGCCGTATGTTATCGGATCCGGACCTAAAGAAACTAGAGGAACTAAATAAGACTAGTTTACGTATGGATCAGCCAGCGCGATTGATGCTAGGCAGGCGTGGGGAGTGCCAGCCGTATGTTATCGGATTCGGACATAGGGGAACTATTAAGACTAGTTCACGGGAATCTATTCAGTCGGCAGATCCGAGATATAATATAAGGCGACGACGATGGATTCGGCCTTGTCTATTGCCACAGCCGGCGCGGCGTAATTACCCCAGAAAATTGTCGTGGATACTGTTTTTGATTTTTAGTTTGTTTTTTTAAATATTTTATGGGAATGTTTCACTTTAGGTCCCTAAAATTAAGAAATATCTTATAAAACGAAGTAGATATTCTGAATTTTTAGACAAAAACAAAAAGCCTGAAGTGAGGAAAAATGCAATTTTTCGTAAAATTTTTGTAATATTTGCTCTAATTGATTTGTGATATAGTTTTTTGAACTCTGATTTGAGTTTCTTTTTTATATTTTTTATCTGCAATAAAACTTACCTATAAGGGAAATTAAAATAACTTTCGTTGCACATCATAATACGACCACCAGCAAACTCCTTTAGACGACGCGTGGTGTCATTAATGACGTGCAACGAAAGTTCTTCCAATTTCCCTATATATGTTTTTAACATACACAATTACACGTCTCGTTATATCTCCGTACATTATAAAAATCATACAGATCATACTGTGAATAGTTCTGACTGACAACGAAACGCATTAGCAAGCAAGGGGAATGTCAATGTTAGTCGGGAACTATTGTGAACTAAAGACCTAGTTCAAGGAACTATTCCTCTGGAGGAACTAGAACTAAGGAACTAGTTCCTCCCAAGGAACTAGAATTCGCACCTCTATAATCTATTATATCATCCCACAAAAAAAAACAAATTTGTATAACTTACCATCGTATCTTGCTACAATCTGTTGCACGCTTAAATTCTCATCTTTAATGTTATCTTTAGGTTTAGGCTCTCCAACGTCATGGCTTGCCATGACAGCTTCAATATAATCCGAATCATTTCGTATTTTTCTGCAATATTCAGATCCATCTTCCAAAACATAGCCAGTCTCTTCCAAAATGTCTTCCAGAAAGTATTGTTCGACGGGGAAAGTTCTGCCAGGAATGCTGACAATGGGTATTTTACCAAAATATGTTGAGAAAAGATTTGCATTTAGTGTGGCACTCATAAGAATCACCTTAAGGTCTGGGCGAATAGGCAGAAGCTCTTTTAATATCAAAAGTAAAAAGTCACTAAAATAATACACAAGCATTGTCTTTTACACATTTACAAAAAATAGATAGGTATATGTTACAGGCAAAGTTTTAAATCCGACATTGTAGGCTAGCTGATTATGTTCTATGCTTCTTATTGTTGCAATTCAACAGAGCAGTTAATTAAGACACAAAATTCTATATGATTTTTCCAATCCCAGGTACAAAAATAATAAAGTTTAGGATAAAATTGGAGTAGCAATTGGATTGGGGATGATACATATTATTTACACATTTTGATTGTTTAAGTTTAAATATTTTAGGTAAATATTTAAAGATGTTTTTTTCCGGTTTTTATAATTCACATGTTTAAATTATACCTATGTATACCTACAGGGTGGAGCACTCCATAGGTACGGCAGTGAACGTAATCGCGTTAGTGTGTGCTAAAATCATTGCACATACAGATTATAAACTTTGATTTTTCTTTATTGTTTTTCGTGGTTCCAATTTTCGGAATCGGGCACTAGTTAGGTTACTAGTTTGCGCACATAGCACGCCCACTTATGGCCTCTAAAATTGTGCACAGCGCCTGACCGGCACAGTTATTAGAGAGATATCGGAAAACCGAATAGCGTCATGCAGTATTTACGCGTACCTTATCATGGTTACGATATGCGCGAGTCAATTTTTAACGCAACACCCGCTAACAACGTTACCGCCTGACGTAATTTGCGGATCAATTACACCAAGCGCTATTTCTAAATAACGTTTAAAAATTGCTTAAATGGACATGTGCGGGCATTTGACAACCGGTGCCGGCCGGCGAGATCTTTTATTTTAGGTTATGTTTGAATTGTTTTGAATTATTACTTTAGTTTTATTAGGTAATTTGATATTTAAGTAGCTGGGATTAGTTTTAATTAAATAAATATGGCCCAAAATATGGATTCCACCTCTTCCAATATTAAAGAATCTATAAAGAGGCTTAGGTTTACAGCAGATGACGACTTAGCCCTTCTAAGAGAATTTGTTGCTTGTTGCCCTAAATCCACTGGCACGCGTTGAACAATAAAGCACTGGAAATAAGCACTTTAGCCCTTTAGTTTTAAAATACCTAGTAAACAAAACAATTTCAAAGTTTATATTCAAAGTTAGGTTAAGTTTAAATAGCGGACGCGACGCGATCAGAATTCTTTCCGATCCGATAACTATAAAGGAAATAACACCTGGCCTTATTAACGTCCATGCACGCTATTCGGATTAGCGATATCTCTCTATTACGCTGTTTATTGTTATTTTACGCGAGTTTATTTTTGCGCACAGGAAATTTGACTCGTTTGCACATCGTCATAAAAAACAATTTTCGTACCAGGAATTAGGGACAAGATTTTTATCTGTATACTTATAGGATACCCAATCTGTGGTATAGCTTGAAGAAATTCTTGTACGATATTTTTGACGTTCCTGTTACCTTTGTTAAGTTGTAACGTTTCTGTAATTCAAGGTAAAGTTTAATTAATACTTTTAGATTGTTTTATTTCATACCCTTTCCTAATATTATATAGGTATTCTATGAAATGACTAGGTATTTCATGAAATATCTAGGTAAAGCTATATTAAGACATTTAAATTTCATAGTGCCGGAAATCGTTAGAAATTTTATAAAATTCTTAGTTTTTCTAAAGAATGTCTTAATTTTATACTTTGCCGGTAACATGTATACAAATATTTGAAATAGATTTTGTATAATATAAAAAATACCTCTCTTCACTTCTTTCATGAACTTCATCAACAATGATATGAGTAACATTGGGCAGTGTTGGATCGCTCTCTAGTCGTCTTAACAAAATACCTGTAGTACAAAAAGTGAGTCGTGTACTAGAAGAAATTTTGCTTTCTAATCTAATTTGATAACCAACTGTAGATCCAATTCTTTCCACTCTTTCTTCTGCTACCCTTAATATAAATTTTCGAATCTTAGAATAGCACAATAGTTAAATAAAACAGTACACCAAAACGCTTTGATTTTTGCACTTAATCATCTGCTGATGATGCTGACATGGTTAACGAAACGCGCGTCCAGTGCAAAAATAAAAGTGTTTTGGTGTATGGTGGTGAATAAGTGTTGTAACACCAAAGGCTCCAACTGTAATAATAACACAATACTTAAAAAAAAGTTGGTATTACCGGTAACATTGATAATTTCAAAAAACAACTTTTCAAATATTTTTTTTTATTTCAAAACAGTAAACACATTACAAAAAAAGACAAGAATGTTTTTTTAAGCTAGTCAGAGTAAGAGTGAGAGATATTATAGTTTTAGTGGATAATGGTGAATCATCCTCAAACTTTCGTTAATTGAGTCAAGTCTATTCAAAATGGATATCTTCTTTTTCCATTTCTTTCTCAGTAGCTTCTACCATTCTTAGAAGTTCTTCTCCATTTAGTAAATTATAATTATGGGCAATATAAGTAAGTTTTCCGGTCCTTTCCACGATAAGTTTGTTTCTTCTTGGCTGATGGACAAATCCATAAAAAGGATATTTCGGATGCGGTTGTCGACGATGGTAAATTTTGATGTCCAAAATGAAAAAGAGTAGAGCGGAAAAAAGCAATATTTTCAATGTTACCGATCTTGCGGTAATATTACCAAAATTACCGGTAATACTACTCTTTACATCACTACAGGTGAGGCACTGTAATGTTCATTGTAAAGTCCTTTTTACTCTGAATAGAATATGCTCTTTTTAACTGATTTAGATTAGAAGATTTTATTTAATATGTCAAGATAGACATTATGACTGATAAAAGTGTTCACAGTTAGCCTGTGCCAAGATGTCAAGAAAAAAAATATATAAACTTTGAGTACTTTATTTTTTAAATGCCTATACCACTGGCTTCAAAAAAATATGAAAATTAAAATCACCGACGTACAATTGGGGTCTCTACACAAATTTAAAAAAAAAACTTTTTCAACCAAAGTAAAAAGCGCGCAAAAAGTTTTGTTAATAATAAATAACAACAGCGTGAATTTTTGGAGTAAAACTGATTTTCGTAACTCTTATTTTTTTAAACAGCTGGCTACCACATCATTGAAGGTACAAAATATCTCTATGTATTTGTTGTCTAAAAAAAAAATAAGCAAAGGGCTTAGTGTCCAAATAACAATAATAAAATAAAGTTTTGTTACAAAGTAAGTACCAGGATCTAGTGCTTTAAGGACGTCAACTTTTTTAAGCAAGTGTCTGGCATTATTTCCATTAAATCTGCTGTAATGGTCTAATTGTATCCCAGAACTTCTTAGCCAGTTTTCAGCAATTTCCGGAAAGTCTTTTTTTAGAGAATCGTATATTTTTTGTACAACTCCCATCTAAATAAATATATAGTTGATAATTGGAAGATTGTCATCACCAGTTATTAAAGGAATGTTGACGCAATTCTCTAAAAATTTTAATTAAAATTTGCAAAAAATAACTATTAAAAAAGTCAATAAAGTAAACTTAGCAGTACACTTACTGTACTTTTTTGTTTCTTTTAAATTTCCACCTGTCTCCTCGTTCTATAATGTACTCCATTTGGAAATATCTTTTATGGATCTTAGTTCTCCCTTTGACTGTAAATATTTTGAGTTAACATCACACCAGGCACATGGATGGTATGATGATAAAGATTGAAGGCCCAATATAATCATTGTCAACTTTAGATCTGCGGCAAATGTGTAAGAACTGACTCCACAAATAGTATGGTGTTGCAAAATCTCAAACATTGCTCTGATATTTTTGTAGGTTTCTATTATTTTGGGAACCAATCCTATTATAATGCGTTTGTTTATTCCGGTACTTTTATGTTTTTCTTGTTTTATTTCGGGATTTTCGTAACAACATAAAGACAGACAAATTTTTAAAGATCCACTTCCACTATCTATGCTCAGTTTTAAATGGAAATCATCAGTAAGTTCACGTTTTTTAAACAAATGGTATTTCCACCTGGCCAGGCAGACAAATTGGTCAAAAAAATCTCCTTAGGAGTGTTGCTTCCTACAACAGTAACCATGTTTAAAATTTATTTATTTACTTATAGCTAGTACCAAATTGTTTTCTTCCTTTTTAGACTAAATTCAGTGTGTGTTAAAGTTATTAATTGTACTTCCTTAATTGTTAGTTTGTAGTTTTACTTGTTCAATAATACTTATGATCATAAAGTAAAATTTTATCACTAAAATCTTAGAAAAAACTTTTTTTTTGTTTATTTTTATTTAAATTTGTGCAGAGACCCAACTTCCTGGATTTAGAAACAGGGAGGGGGCAAAAGTAAGCATACCTTTTGGTGATGATGGTCGTTATTTATTATTAACAAAACTTTTTGCGCGCTTTTTAATTTGGTTGAAATTTTATTTTTAAATTTGTGTAGAGACCCCAATCGTACGTCGGCGATTTTAATTTTTAAATTTTTTTGAAGCCAATGGTATCGGCATTTAAAAAACAAAGTACTCAAAGTTTATATATTTTTTTTCTTGACATTTTGGCCCAGGCTAACTGTGTGTTATATGTGAAGCTGTCCGCAATAGGAAAAATCTTATCCTTAAAAGAACTCCTCAACACTATAAAAGTATGAAAACCTCTGAAGTATGTTCCATATTTTTAAAAAAACAAGATATATATTATTTAAAATCGTTTCTTCAACTGACTTTTATTCAGCAAAATACATATTTATGTTAGGTAACTTAATCACTTTAAATACTTATTAGGTAATTTACCTTTGATTTTTTTTTTTCGTTAAAATAATTAATATACTAGTAAATATTATCCAATAAATAATTAATATCCGAATAACAATATTATTTTCTCAAATTTATATATTTACATTTTCTATTTTATGACATAAAAATGACATATACACAAAACAAAGACAGACGATTGGTCAATCAGGGTCAAAGACAAAGATAATGAGATAGTCGAATGTCGCTGATGTGTCTTCAACAAAAATTAAGCGAATTTACCTTTGAATAAGAAGACTAAGGATGGGCATATTAAAAATCTTAGGTCCACCGCGATGGGCCTCAAATATGGCCGACTTAAATTCCGGTTTATCAGTGCCGTTCTAATTTTATTTAAAAAATGTAAAACTATGATGTAGGGTAGACGTGGGGTAGACTCAATAATATGTTGTTTTATTTGATGTTGTGAATAAATGTCGGTAGTTATTAAAATTGTTACAAAAATATATTTATTCTAATAACACTAGATAAGTTATAATAATTATTTATTAACACAAACGTCCGATACGCTACTGAAGCAGGTAAATCTGGTAAATCAAATTGACGTATCTAAATTCTTTGACATCTAATCTTTGACAAGTAGTAAATAAAAGCAAAAATGCAAGAAATAGTTATTAACGTAATAAGGCCGATAAACAACAAATAACGACCGGGCTGAAGTTTGTGATCCGAGGCGATAGCCGAGGATCATGCCAAGGCCGTTATTTGTTATCGGCCGTGTTGCGTTCTAGATTTTCGTCATACTGCAGATTTTTAGAGCAATAAACACTACTATTTAATAACAAATTTTATTGAACAATAACACAAGTAAGGATAAAAAAATACATAATGTCTTATACTAAAATTCATTTTTCATGATAATGAACATGGAAATTAAAAGTGCACTTGTTGTTCTTAGAAATCTGTAATCCTTCCCAGGGATTTACAGATTTTATAGAAGAAGATGATGCTACTGAAGAATGGCAAATATTTGTATCCACTAAAGACACATTATTTTTGGAGCTATCATGAAAAAGTTGATTTGTTATTTTCATTCTTTTGGAAACTGATTTTTCTATGTAAGTTTCTGCCACTGTTGAAGACTCCCATCCTCCTAGCTCCTTTAGCGATAGTAAATCACCACCATTTTCGGCGAGCATGGTTGCTGATGATCTACGAAATGAATGCCCTGTATAACGTTCTGGATTCTCCAAGTTCAAAAATTTTGCAATTTTCTGCGGTACGCTCCCGATGGTATGTATACCGACGATTTGCTTAACACACTTGCCTTTCTTGTAACCAATGAAAAATTTTGGATTGTCAAAGTTACGAGGACGCAGGTTGATGTATTTTTTGTATAAACCATAGGCATCAAACGGAAGGCCCGTTTTGGAATAAGAAATTTCCTATCTTTCTTATTTTTAGTATTTCTTAATGAGACAAGAATATTTTTCTCCGAATCTTCGAAATCATCAACTGTGAGTGACCAAAGCTCGCTGCGCCTACAAGCTCAAAGAATACCAAGCACCAATACAATTTTTCGAGTAACCAGGTGTAATCATCGGCATCCAGTAGAAAATTATTTATGTCATTCTCCGACAGAACTTTGGCTTTTTGGTGAATAACCTTCGTTTTTGCGCCTCAGAAACATGAACAGTTTACCAAATCTATGAACAAATATAATTTAGATGAGTATGATTAAATATCGAAGAATATAATGGCTTTTTACCTTGATATGTCGATGTTTCATATACTCTCAACGCAAGCTTCAGCATGGATATCTTTGTCCACAGTGATGTAGGAGAATACATTTCAGACATTCTTTTAGCATAAGCCAGCAATACCGCTTCATTTACGCTGTTTATACTTCTATCCTGCCGCCACTTCAAAAAATTGTCATATTCCTGCTGATATCTCTCTCTGGTTATAGTCGGAAGTAAATTTTGAGTAGCCGCAGCCGCTTCCTCCTGTATTTCCAACGGAATTTCTCGCGACATCTCGCTATGGTCTATTTTCCCAATTTTTGAAAAGTCCAACTGACAATAAATAGTCATTGTTGCAGGTGACAGACGTTACGATTACCTTAGAAACTTAACGGCCGCCGGCCGTTATGATAACGTCCGGCGGACGTTATATGCATCTTTTCCATTCTGATTTTGCTTATGTTATAATAATATAACAATATAGTATGACGAAAAAATATATAATTAGTTAATTTAAGTGAATTTCATAAATAATCGGTTTACTAGACGTATGTATATTATACAGGGTGGTCCGAACTGTATTCCGGAAACTTCGGCAGCATATTCTGCAGATAAAAATAAGTAAAGAAGTTCGTATACATGTATGTCCTGAAATGTATAGTTTCAGAGATACAGGACGTAGAAGTTTCAATTTTATTTCAATTTTTTCTAAATAATTTCTGAAGTAACGTCAATATTTCAATGAAAATTGGTGTCTGGCAGTTTTTTGATATGAGAAATTTGATTTTGATGTCAATATGACTCCTACTGGCAGAGGGCGCCACCTACATGTGTTTTAAATGTTTTGAAGCTTAATAACTTTTTGTCCGTAACTGTATAAAAGTTCCGAGGGGAAAAATATACATCTCTGTGACTTTTTACGTAAAAAATATATCTTTGTAAAAATCGCTACGAGTAACCGTTCTCAAGATATTTATAATGGAAATAGTCAATACATGTCATTATTGACGAAAAATAAACACGTTGAGTGGATAGTTATTTCACTGAAATAATAAATTTGAGAAATTTTTATTTTTTTAAATTAATCATAAATTTTTCTGCAAAAAAATGTTGATAAAACAGTTTCTGTTGAACTTATGACATAAAAGCTTTCAAATTTATGATCTCAGTCTAATAACTATTCAGTCAACATGTTTAATGTATGTCAATGATGACAGGTATTGATAATTTCGATTCCAAATATCTCGAAAACCAATACTCGTAGCGATTTTTACCAAGAGACATTTTTTACGTAGAAAACGTCGTAAATGTATATTTTTTACTCAGTAGTTTTATACAGGTACGGACAAAAAGTTATAACTCTTCAAAACATTAAAAAAATATGTAGGTGGCGCCCTCTACTAGTAGGAGTCATATTGACATCAAAATCAAATTTCTCATGTCAAAAAACTCCCAGACACCAATTTTCATCCAAATATTTACGTTACTGCAGAAATTATTCGGAAAAAAATGAAATAAAAATGAAATTTCTACATCCTGTATCTCCGAAACTAAGCATTTTAGGACATACATTTATACGAACTTTTTTACTTATTTTTATCTGCAGAATGTGCTGCCGAAGTTTCAGGAATACAATTCGGACCACCCTGTATAGTCACCAGTGGCGTAGGTATTAGGTACCTATATAACAATTTAATTTTTTATTTTTGGCAACCGTTTGTATACGGGGACAGGCGAATGCGTGACGGCCGCGTGCTCTGGCTGTAGTTGATACGGGGTTTCATTAAAGTATGAGCAAAGTTTGCATAATCACGAAAAATTTTGATGCTAACATCATATTTTGATTTTTTTTTCGACTGCTCGGTGGGCCCCTCAGGTTAGCGGGCCCTGTATCATTGATACAGCTGATACAGCGGTTGTTACGTCACTGATAGTCACTTACTAGCGAAAAGTTGTTCCATTATTTCACTGGATTTTTGCCGAGATCTACCGCACGCTACACAACCAACTATTTTAGAGTCTTTTTCGATAAATCGCGATAGTGTCACTGTTAATTTAAGTTCTGCCACAATTTCCATCTAGATTTACTACCTTTATACAACTATCAGTAGTAGAATAAATAATAAATAACATAAAATAAGCTCCGTAAAGACTGAGAAATCCATAAAATTTCAAATCAAATTCAAATGCGTCAAATGAATCGTCAAACAGAACTATCAAGGATCCCCACCCTAGAGTGCTTTTTCCGCCCACCACGCATGAATACATGGATAGCCATTATGCTCCTTCCTTAGTCTTCTTATTCAAAGGAATTTACTTATCCACTAAGTTTATAAGATCTAAGCAATCACGTTAGCAAAAATTAATACTTTTGTGATATTTAAAAAACATTTATCTCACCTTTCAGCAACACCAATAGCTGATATCCTCCTGGGTTGTGTACACACAATTTCCAAATGTTTATTCTTATAATTTGTGATCCAATCATCAATAATAAACTGTGGCACTTGTGTACTCTTACCGCAGCCAGTTTCCCCACTTATCACCACGACTTGACTTTGCAATATGGAATTCAAAATATCATTTTTTAAAATCCATGCCGGCAATTGCTGTCTCCCTTGAACCATTTTAATATACTTTGGATTGGATAGTTTGGTTTTAAATTCATTTACAATTCTCATGTCCTCTCTCATCAATTCCTCAGAACTTATTTGTTTTTTGTTGTCTCTGTTGGTAGCTCCTTTTTTGTAGTGAGATGGTCTCATTCGTTTTACTTCTGCAACTTTGGCTTTACTAAATAGTTTCTGTCTGGGGTGAAGAAAGTCCACTTCTATTTTCAAGAATTCCTTTATTTCTTCTTCGTTTTTTAATAATTCAGTTACTGAATAAACACAAGGGATACCATCTTCGGCTAAGATTTGCGCTTCTTGAAATAATCTTTTACAAATATGCAGTTCAACCAATGCAGGAAGACAAGCGTTTGATTTGAGAAATATTAAAGGGGGTTCGTATGGATATTTTGTGTTTTTTGGAAACCGAAACTCCAGATTAAAACTGGGTGAAAAATGATTATTTTTGTCAGGTTCAATTTTGTCGGGTTCGTGAGAAAATCGACATTTATTTCCGTATTTACATGGCACACCTCTTAAGAAGTTTTTACATTTATCTATTTTCTTTTTGTGAAAATTTTGTGAATGCTCAGTATTCTTTTTACTGTGAAATATGTTGTAAAGAAAATCTACGTTTTGAGTTACAATCCAGACGTCTCCAGTTTTTTCTCGAAAACAGTTATCGTAAATCGATTCCAGTGAACTTTTTTCATCGGCGCGCATATCGCTAACGTCAAACTCCGAAAAATTTTCATTCAAATTAATTTTTCCAACTTTAAAATACTTCGAGTATAAGAGAACGAGTGCATCATCTAGAACGCCATTACAGTATTCAAATGCTTCGACACAATGACTTTCATGGAAACCATAACTACAATTTTTTTCAAATTAATTATACCATATTATCGAAAAAAAACGGCGTCAAAGACAGCTGGGGAACGACAATCGGTGATAATTTTGGCGAAGTCAATCTCTAGACGACGTTTACTAAAAATTAACTATTAAATACTAGTCAAAAAGTAGGTAACAATAGTTATAGAAATAATAAAAAATGATAGAACGTTTCCAGTTTCACACTATAATCTATTTCCAAAAAAATACACACACCGGAAAAGTCTAGGGATATTACAATTTTATCCAGCCATCGTCAGTAATTTTATTATTTGCATTTCTGATATAATAAAATTAAAATAAACAAATAGTTTACAGGACGTATTGGAAATAAAAATGCGAAATTTACTGAATTTTTCAAATTTACCTTGATTTTTATTGAACTCAAAAAAATACACACATTTTTTTTTATTCTAAACTGCAAATTAAAAAAAAAAGATAAAACAATTTTTACTTAATAAAGGGTATTGCCTCCTCTACTGTTCATTACAGCCCTACATCGTCTCTCCATGCTCCTGATCAGGTTGTCGATCTCTTCTTGAGGTACACCCTGTCACGCTGCATTCACGGCCCGAACCAGATCCCTACGAGTTTCACGAGGCATACCCATTCTCAAAATTCTTCTTTGGACCGCGTCCCATACGTGCTCGATGGGGTTTAATTGATGAGCATTGATAAACTCACCACTCTGGCTGTATGAGGCCGTGCATTGTCATGCATGAGAATGAAGTTTCTCCCAAAATCATTGGTATATGGTAACACGACAGGCTCAAGAATTAAATTACGATATGTGATTCCTGTTAGAAACCTTTCAAGAAAAACGAGATCGGTTTTTCAGCCTAATTGGACTCCTCCCCAGACCATAACTGTTCCACCTTGATAAGGGAACTTCCTGAACATGATCTAACCGAATAAGATTTCCCGGTTCTCTCCATACCCTAAGCCTTCTCGAATCCGGATGAATTCCAAAGCGTGACTCATCCGTGAAGAGAACATTGGCCCATTGTTCATTCGACCACTGAACATGATCTTGAGCCCACAAATATCGTACCTCTCGATTTCCTCTCGTTAAGGGTTGAGCTCTCCAGGGGCGTCTGCTTCTTAAGTTGACCTCTCTTAATCTATTGCGAACAGTGTCAGGACTAACGGTTACATTATGTGTTTCCTGGAGAATTAAACTAAGCTCTGGTGCTGTAAGAGTCGGTCGGGGTCGAGCATTTAATTGTAAAAAATTATCTTGCTGAGGGGTAGTAATGCGATGTCGCCTTGTGTGCCTTTCAGCAACATCACCACTTTCACGGTAGCGTGCAGTTAATCGCGATATTACACTTTGCGTTGTATTTAATGCTCTAGCTACGTCGATTTGGCGCATTCCAGCTTCAAGCATACCCGTGACCCTTAACATTTCGTCTCTGTTAAGATGTCTACGCTCCTTAATGTTGTTTAATACTAAACAGAGTTATTTGAATGAATTCTGACCAGTTATCATAAAAACATAGCCAGCACAGGTTAAATTCGAACAATTCATGCTAGGTGCTTTTTATACATTTGACAAAAAATGCACAAACACGTCTGCAAATATCCCAAATTTAGAAATAACTAGTGTGACTACTTCGTTTCAATCGAAGTAGAAAGAATCGGCCAACAAATATGTGGTTGTTTATTCAAAACATTTATTTTTAACTTTAATAAAATGATATCCCTAGATTTTTCCGGTGTGTGTACTTTTTCTAGAATTTTAAACTATACCAATAGCAATCATTTTTACTCAATATAAAAATAAATTACAACCTTCTTAAGACCAACTGGCAGTAACCCCCATTGAAAAATTAGGAAGCAAGGGCGTAGATAAGGGGGGGTACTGGGGGACAGTACCCCCCCTGACGCTTGACGAGATACGAGAATTGAAATAGTCATTGACTATAAAGGATTTTTTTTTAATTAATATCCGACATATAAGAACACTTTGTATGCTTTTAATTATGTTGATTTATCAAGCACACAAAGTGTTCTTATTGGCCAGGACAGATTAGTGGGGTTAACTCTAATCAATATCCATAAAGATATTGAAATAAATGTTGATGCTGTTATTGATAGGTTTTCCAAACAGCGTACTAGAAAACTTGATTTTGTTTTGTAGTTTTTTGTAGTTTTATTTATAGTTTATAGTTTTTATAGTTTTTGTTTGATAGTTTAGAGTTTTTTATTTATAGTATATAGAAAATTAACTAATAAACGTCGTTGTTTCATTTTTGTTTATGTTTTTTACAAATCTATATTTTAATTTTTGTGTTATGTTTTTATATCTTTTTGAAGACAAAAAAATCGCCGTCGTTTTAATTCGACAAAAAAATTCCGACGGTGATTTTTTTTTGCGACTTAATCATAGTACCCCCCGGCATACACCTATCTACGCCCCTGTTAGGAAGTTCCCTAAGCTATAATAATTATCATCAGCTATAATAATTATCATCAGCTATAATAATTATCATCTATTGTCATTTCCCAGCCGTCTTAAGTCTTTTTTTTTTTTTTTCGTGGTACAATGATAAGTATTAGATTCTAAAACTACCGGTAGTGGCCAATTAGTATTAGTGCGGGAAAGCCCAATATCCCCAATAAACATAATTTTTAAATCAATTTCAAACATTGCAAATAATATAAACAGTTATCGAGCAACAATTTGTACACTGGTTGAATTTGACACAATATCAATTTAATAATATATTTTTGTACTTTTGTGCTTAGACGTAACAGTGATTTACTTTTATGCCTAGATGTTAAAAGGACTGATGAAATTAATACTTTTAAAACGTTTGAAAAAAAATCCTTTTTCATCTGAAGCGAGCGACTATTTTTGCGGAATATATTGGTGACCGATGTGGAAAACACGCGCCGTAGAATTGTTAATGTTACCGGTATCGGGCAGAGTTATAAAGATTTAACCATTTAGGATAGGTTTTTAATTGGAAATAAGTCCTGGTCATTTGGAAATCCGACTTAATTATTGTTTTGATTTGAATTAAAAAAGTCTGATTTTTCTGATTTCTTTAAAAAAATCCTGATTTTTTTACTACTGACTAAAAATATTTTTAGATTAAGAATCTAGTGATAATAATGATAATAATAATAATCTAGATAATAACGTATTGCAGTAGGGTAATGTCAAATAAAACAATATTAGAAACATCCTAAAAAGTGACAGCGGCCGACTAGATTTTTTCCTAAAAAAATTACAGCTGCCCACTAGATTCTTTATCTAAAAATGTTTTTTGTCCTGACATGTAATGCTTTACATTTTATTTTTTAATTTCAAATCAGTGAGTTTTATCAAAAAAACACAAGAGATAAAAAAGTTTCTAAATAAACTAAACTATCAAAACTATTTTTTTTTGCATGTGTTTGAGATTTTTCTTTAAATTTCGTTAACAAGAATGATAGGGGTAGTTTATTTCAACCTCTTCCACTCATTTTAAAAAAGTGAAAAAATTACCAGAAAGTATGTTTTCATAACAGTAATGCTTCCGTAAAATTTCATTAGTCTATCTCTTTTCGTTTTAATGGTTGACTTTTGACCCAACGTTTATAAAGCAAACTACCCTTTATTTTGAACAAGGAATCACCCCCTGAAGTTTTTCGCATTTGTTTTGAAACATTGTGTATATCAATGACGATATTGAACTTCCTCACACTAATGGACTACCTTGTATAAGCTTATAGGGTCTGGTAAACATTAAGTACCTCAGAATTTCGCAATTTTTATTTTTTTAGTCGAAAGCTCTATTGCTATAGAACAGTTTAAAAGAAAAAAATCCTTGTATGAAGCACTTTTGAACCAAAAAAAATAATTTAAAAGTGTCTAAAATGTTTACCAATCTATCACAGTAAATTATTAAAATATAAAAACCACAGCTTAACACCCTCCACAAAGAAAAGCTAGCCAAAGCAACAAAAATGCTCGAAAAAAAACTGTATTATCCAACAAATTTTTTGTCTTAATATGCTCTATTTACAGTAATCTTTCTAAGAAAACAAAGGAAAGTGTGAAATTCTGAGGTACCTAAAGTTTACTAGAACCAGCTTATATAAAGTTGTGTCACAAAACATATCTCCACAGATGATATTATGCATAAATATTATGCAATTCTATTTTGTAAGTAGCATATCAGTAAGATCTACCTTAAAAAACCTACCTTTTAAGCCGCATTATTCCAAAAGATCTTAACCGTTCTTCTTCATGTTCTTGATCACTTCTAACTTGTGAATAGTCACAAACACCTCTAACCACCAGACTACCCTGCCCGACCCAATATTTCTTTAGTAAATTTGACCTCGTGTCACTGTAATCATCTATACTATTTAATTTAAAATCCTGAAAAAATTAATACAAAATAAAATAGAATAAAAGTGCATCCTTATTTCTTTAAATACATACCGGTCCATGAATATATTTTAAGGTATCTAAAACCTGCTCTTGATCTGACTCAGACAACCGTAAAAACTGGAGTTCTTGTTTAAGAATTTCCTTCTTTTGGGATATTTTCTCTACCCTAAAAAATATACTATTATATAGAAAATACAAAGGAATATTAGAAGTACAGTCCATAATATGATATTGTTATTATTCAATATTAGAAAATACGAAAAAACTTAGTTGGAAATATGTACAATATTGCACAATCTTCTTGCAAGTAAGGAAACTACAATAAATAAAAAACATACCCGACTTTGGCTGTCACAGGTTCACGAAGCAAAAAATCAGCCGAATTAATTGCAGTTTCACTGTTCATTTTGCAAAATTTTAGAATATTTAAAATCTATTTCAAAATAAAACTAATACAAAGCACTCAAAAATATTCAAAAGTGAGGTTATATTGTTCGAGAAAACTCTTTACAGAAAGTCTGGCGCAATGGCGCGATATCATATATGAGTCAATAGCTTTGTTCCTTGTCAATAGCTAACATATGGAAAAAGAAGGTATCACAGGAAGGTATCAAGTTACCTTAGAAATGAGGATCGATGATATTTTATTTGGACAAAAATAAAATATTTTTATATGTAAAAAAATTAGAAACGACAGAGAAAGTAAGCAACAGCTCAACAGCATTCCAGTATTAAAAATGATTTATTTTCAAAACTATAAGTTTTCTATACAGGGTGGCGCATCTCATACGAAGCGGAGCACGGTGGTGTATTAGCATGAAAAAGGTGATCGAAATTCGAAAAAGCAAATGTGTTTAAGATTTCCCAAAAAAGATAAATGATAAGTTAAATCATGTCTGCCATGAATGGCGTTGCTATGGGTGTGTTTAGTTGCATTTATTTGTTTCAACGAAACGTCAAAGTTGTTACTTCTCACAGATAAGAGATAAATGGCTAATTTTTATGTTTAAAATTATAAATTGTTGTTGTTCTTGTGCTCCTTTTACGTTTATATTATTGTTTTGATTGAAAATGGCTCAGCAAGCTGCAGGTATGTATTCTACAAAAACATTATTTATTTTGATATTCTCTATACTAACGATTTTTTTTGCAACTAAGTTACCTAGGCGTTCAGAAAATTTGATTAAATTTCTGACATTTTTTATTATACTTAGAGATTTAGTTGCGCATTTCGAAGAATTCAGTATATTGTCTATATACGTTTTACTTAGTAAACATTGGGCTTTCATACAGTAAAATAAAATACTGCGACTTTTTGCGACTTTGCTGATAAAATGAGAAAAACATTGTCGGTTTCCTCTAATTTGCAAATCAGTGATATACTAATGCGAGGTATCAACCGCGATGGCATTGTTGTGTACAAAGCGATCGTATTAGTGCCATTAGCAGTATAGCACAATTTGGCATTAGTAGCGGCTTTAGTGGTATGGGCGTTGGTCGTGGATCAGTAGTAGCATTAGTAGTATTAGTTGCGATATTACTACTGGCATTAGTCGCATTGACCGTGGAAACACTGGAACAGTGATTTTTCTTTCTTTTTTTAGAATCGACGAATTATCCTTTATTTTGTTCATATTATTTCCTCTTTAATTGAAAATAGCAATAATTTATATAAGCAGGTCTACATAAAAAAATTTCGATCAACTATCGGTGTCAAATACCCCACTGTGCGGAGGCTGGCGGAGGCTCCAAGGAGAACGAAAACTTGTATTGAGACGAAATTGAGATGAAATTTTGTGAGCATATATAGAGTTACACAATATCAAAGTTGTATTTTTGTAATGGAGCACTTTATATACCGGGTGCGTCTCAAAAGTAGCTCACCACTATAACTTTCTTATTTTTACAGTTAAAAAAATGAGATTTGGTATATTAGTATATGACAGAAATTAGGATTGATTGACGTATTCAATTGTTTTAATATATGTATATACCATGGTACAAAGAATACAAGGTATGATATTGCGCAGGTTGGTCGCTACGTCACAGGTGATAACAGGCGCTATTGGTCAGCACGCTCCGCGCGCCAGTTTAAATCGTCACGGTATTGTTATAAACCTGTTTTTTTGTTTATATACCGTCATTGAATTATCGCTAAGCAAGTAACTATGGAGCAGTGCGTAAGGAGTTGGGCTAGGAAGCGAGAGACCGGGGTTCGAATCTCGGCGGGACATAACTTTTTTTTTTAAATACTGTTGTATTCTATAGTTTATTTTTGTAGTATAAAAGAAAGAACTATTTATTCTGTTATTTTTTAATCTGCGGTATTAATATAAATTGATTGTTGGTACAATACCTCATTTAATATAAAATAATATTCTACTTTTTGAAATGTATCTGGCCCTAATTGTACCTAAAAGTAATATATTTTTACAGTGATATACCATATTGTAAACTATTGAATATTTCAATCACTTAAAAAGTTAATTTGCATTGAATAATTGCCTACAATCAAAGGAAATTTGAGCTATATAATCCTTGATGGGCATATTCTGGGTATGCAAATACTTTTTTTAATACCTCTAAATTTTGGGTTTCGTTCAACCGATTTATTCTCAAAACCAGAAACATCTACATATAAAAAGAAGCACAGGTCACTAATTATAATAAACTTCACCCTTGGAATTACTTCTGTCACAATTACAATACATTCATCTGCATTGGCATTTTCTACTTTTCGATGGGAAACAATATAATTCCCAACATTTTTTAAATGATGTAACAATTCCTCTTGTGGTTACTTTTCCATAGATATCCTCATCTCTGTCCTCATGTGAATTCAGAGGCAATGAACATAAAAAATTATTTACCATAAACATCGCAAACTAAAAACCTAATAAACAATTTTATAACGAATATAGAAATAAATTTAGTATTCTTACCTATTATGGTCCAAATCCATGTTAATAGATAATTATTATTTTTAAATATATTTTTGAAACTGCTGGTTTTAGTAATTATTAAATTAAACGAACTAAAAAGTCTTAAAAATAAACAATTCTTAACCATAACCCCAAAAAATGCAGATCTCCTTTCAACTTTCTTTATTTTTTATTTATTCATTATTTTCCTAGTGACGTCACAGGTAGTATGCGCGAACTGAACGAAATTGGAGCCGCTATCGATCATACCTTGTATTCTTTGTACCATGTGTATATACTAACAAACCAAATATCGTTTTTTTTATCTGAAAAAATAAAAAAGTGATAGGGGTGAGCCACTTTTGAGACGCACCCGGTATATATTAATTGATTTTCAGATTCTAGCAGAAAAACAAAGGCGAGTTTCATTAGAGAAGTATATGACTAAAATGTAAGATTTTTTTATATATTTAACGTTTTCTAAAAATGAAGAACAAATTTTAAATTTCAATAATAGCTACATAAATTGGTATTTACCCGCGGTATAGCCCAATATGTAGTTAAAATAACTGTTGTTCTTTAAATCAAACTAAAACTTGACCCAAAAAGTCATACAGGGTGAGACAAAATTAATATATTGAACATATTGGTTTACCTTTAAAAGCAAAGTTACCCTTTTATTTTAAATAGAACACCCAGTATATTATTCCGATATTCAACGGGAAATTCATGTTTCTTCAAAATACTGTAAAGGTTGCCTACGTCTTTTATGATTTAGTGTCAGTAAATCTTTACTATTTGAAAAAAATCTAGGTGGCTGTGAGATACCTGACGTTACTTCAACATAGTTGTCAAATTAGTTCACCTAACATCAACTAGTGAAAATTGACATGATTCTATTAATTGGTGTGTGCATTCTAAGTGAGCTCTAAAATCTAAACAAAATCCAGCTATCGTCGAAAAATAAATTATGAATTTATTTAAGGTATGTAAAGTTGGTCTATCGAGAGAGTACCTGACAGTGAGAGCTGACTGACATTGTAATTCACAGGTAATTTGTATTTTTATTGTTTGAATGTCGATATTCTTCCCTAACAAGTCCGGGTAAATCCGGGCGTATAAAACCTCTATTCACAACCACAGTATTCGTACCATGTCGCTAGATTAATTTAAACTGCTTACGTAGTTTAGAAAAGGAGAACAAGTTTAATTTGCAAAGGAAATATCACGAGGTCCGTATAACTTTTAACGTAGTAATTGGATGACACTGTTCAAATTAATTAGCGCATAATTAGCACTTCTTTTAGTGACCTGAAGGCGATTTATCCAATTAATTAGAACTTGATAATTTCTGATGTATGTGTGTATATATTTAGCTGTTCTGTGTTGATTGTTTCAAAACGTGTTCAAATACTCAATGTATCTGTTACTGAGTTTATGTAAATTTGATGCTAAATAGTAACAGTGGTACCAAAACATGTTTATAATGTCTGTCTTTTTTGGCGGGTTCATTTCTTGAAAAAGGCTGGATTCTAACTAAAAATCAAGTTTTTTAGGAAACATAACATATTGTTTGTAATTTTTTTGGAGGCCTATATAATTCTTTTAAATAATGTGTGAGTGTTTTGCCACTGGAATTTTTTTAAACATCGCACGTATTTGCCTAAACCCAAATTCAATAAAAATCAAAATTTTTCCTGGGAAAATCAGGCTTTTTTCACTGAAAAGATATTTTTTGATTTATCAGCAGTCATTGTCAAGTTGACAATATACAGGGTGTTTTCGAATTAGTCTAAAAAAATTATGGTGTGATTCCTCATGTGTTCTTAAAACAATTTTTATATAACCATTTGGTCTAAAGTACTTCCTTTCTGATCTACAGGTTGTTAAAAATTTTAAAAAAATCGATTTTTTTGCTTAACATAAATGGTACACCACTGCTTTTTTAAAGAAAATATATTCTTTTCTTGACTGGCCATCCTTTTTCAACAAAATTGATCTTTTGAGTTTTTCTTGTTCATCGAACGGTTGTCGAGAAAAAATAAATATACTTATTAAGAGCCCGCCTTAATTCGTTTTCTAACGATTTTTTATTTTTTAGATTAATTAGGAAACACCCTGTATATGCATATCACAGGCAACCAAATAAACTAGTAACCTCTAAAAATTATTTTTCCTACCACTAGCGACATACCGTGTTTTTAGTGTGTACTAAATTATTTTATCAAAATTTCACCATATAAGTTTCCAGGCAATGGCTATGGAGTACGACAAACGCAAGCGATCGTATTCACTACATTAACGAACCAGCCATATCATTCACTATAATAAACATAAATTATATTTTTGCGTTGAGATATTAATTTAATATACTTCTATTATTATCTCTTTAGGATTTAAGCGATAATAAAATTAGTTTGAACTGATGTATTTATCTCTACAATTCCTAAGAGCTAGTACCTAACTACTACTAATTAAAGTTTTGTATAGCCTGTCCAACGAGTCAGGGAAGATTTCGACAGATAAAAAATAACAAGAGAAAATACCATTTGCCTGTGAATTAAAGATAGATATAATTG